TGTATGTATTTATGTTTAATGACTTATTTTGTTAGTGTGTGTTAGATTACATTGACTAATTTAAATTTAATGTCAATGAATTATGAATAAATAAAATATTTTATGAATGTTAAATTTTTATTTATAAAAAATAATAATAAAAGTGGTTCGGGGAATAATATTTTATTCTAAGTCTGTCTTTGTTTCTTTCAAACTTTTTCTTTTTTATCTTTTGAGAAAGAAAGCCAGCAAAACTTGAAGCTTAAGCTCCATTAACACAGTGAATTGATAAGGTTTTGTTAATTAATCATCATCTACGTGTTCACTTTATTTGAAGTCAACCCCTCCCAAAATTCTTGGGACTCCAATAAATAATTTTAGAAAAAAAAAGAAAAAAAAAGTTCAGAAAATCTAGTAGTTCGTTGATAATTATAATACTAGTATAGTTGGAACATGCCACGTACCTTTTTTTTTTTTTTTTTCTTCATATAACTAATAATTAACATGAACACATTATATGTCTATATATAATTATTGTCTCAATAATAACAATAAAAATAAACAACGGTCTATTGGGTATTATTATTATTTTGGGTTGGCTTTAATTTTAAGCCATACTCTCTACAATCATTTGATGTATGTTTAGAAATTTATTCTCTAATAATTGAAATAAATTGTTCACAAATAATATGATAATTTAATTTGATTCAATGATAATAAGTTTCCTTTCAAATAATTTTGTCTAAGTTCAAATAAAATTAAAGAGAAATTAAGATACAAATTAACGATCCCTTGTACCGTTCGATAATATTTATGTGCCTTTGGAAATTTCATATTGTAAAACATACCCATATGATATATATACATGTATATATTTGGAAATGTAATTTAAAGAGAAGGAACCCATTAAGGAGTTTGAGTGGTAAAGTACGTAAATAAGGTTGATTTTGATTCTCTTGATAAATTTAATAAATAAAATGAACGAGACAGAGCATGTGTTTTCCACTTAATATTAATGGGCACATGATAAGTTGCTCTCTTGTAATTTAGCTATGACCCCTCACCATTGAATTTTATCTCCTAAGACACAACAAAGCAAATTGCTTTTTCAATTATTTTCGTGGCCCATTTTCATACTCAATACACAGACTTCATGTTCATCATCTCTATAAATTAAACATTTCAAAAAAAAAAAAAAAAATCTTTTGCAAAATTTTTAAATTTGAATTTCGTTATTATTATCTATATTATATGATATTTATATATCGCGTGCACCAACATATAACAAATTTAATTTTTAATATACAATATTTGAGAAACTTAAATTTAGTCTAATTTTATTTTTGATGGGGTTTTTTTTTTAACAACAGATGTTTTTTGTTTGTTTTAAAAACTCAATCTCTTTCTATTTTGTAACAACAAATCTAAAGTAGTTGCATCATATTGTGAGTATTTAAAAAAAAAAAAACTAATTAAGAATGGTGATTTTAATTAATTAATCAAATTAATACATTAATAATGCAATTAGAAGTATTCTTCCTTATTAGTAAATTATTAATTCAATTAATGAGTCAAAATATACTTTTTAAGTTATTTTTGAAAACATTAAATAATGGGTTTTTAAATTATATATTCTAGTGTTTTTTCGGAAAAAAAATTAAATATGAATAAGTAAAAATATAATATTAAACAATTAAGAAATTAGAAAAATATAAAATACTTATAAAATAAAATAACAATAAAATTATGGATAGTAATTATCGTAAAAATAAAGGATTTAAATTGTAATTAAACCATATTACACGAACCAGGATTATAATAAATTAAATCACAAAGATTGTATCTATATATATATATATTTATATATGTGAAAACAAAAAGAAAAAAAAAAAAAAAAAAACTGCTGGAAACATTTTAGTGGAATTTGAAAGAGAACCAAAAAGAAAAAAGAAAAAAAAGAGGACCCCACTGCCTCTCTTCTCCATCCCTCCCCCGCCGTAGGTGATGAAATTAGTTCGATCCATTAATGGTCTCCAACAACAAAACGGGGCCGTATTGAGGAAATAAATAAAGGTCCCTCCCCCCACCAAATTTCTCCAACCTGGAATTTCTAATAGCTGTACGTTTATGGAAGAAACCAAATCTCGGCTCCAACAACTTCTATCATTTCTCACTTTCCTATTCTTTTTTTTTTTTTTTTCCCTTTCTCCTCTTCCTCTTTTAGGAAACCAAAACAAACAAATAATAACTTTTAATCAATTTAAAACGACACTAGAGCCAGTCGTTTAGAATTTAAATTTTAATGATCCCATTTTATGGGTATTATACCAAAAAATATATATATATTTAGTATAATAAAATTATACGAGGAATTGGGTTGGTTTAAATTTTTTTAGTGGGTGAAATTAATTATATATTATTTGCTATTAATTTAATAGTTTATACAACATTATACATAGAAGTTGACAATTTTCAATTCATCAATTGGCTGTTTCAGAGCACAAATCACCACAACAATGTGAGTATGGTGGCGTAGGGAGACGAACTCACAGACAATATTATTGAAAATAGATTGGTGAGAATGACACTTCGCTTTTTATCATTATACTCGCATTATTGAATTTAACGAAAGAGGAATCTTAACCAATAACCACATATAAACAAATAATAAAAATAATTATTTCATAAATTAATTACGTCCCAATATAATTAATAAATTAGAAAAATCATAAATAATAATAATATATATATATTTTTTTTGTTAAAAAAAAAAAAAAAAAAAGAAGAAGAAGAAGAAGATCAAAACATGGATTGTTGGGGGAGTACGTCGCCAGACAAGCAGCAAACCAATAATACCTACTTCCCAAACAAAAGCGTTGTTGTCTAAACTGAAAACTGCGCTGACATGGACTAGGGAGATGGGGTCGGGTCCCACGTGGAACGATGTAATGACGTGGCACGAGAAGGGTTAGAGGGGAAGGAAAGGGAAGTTAAGGAAGGGGAGGCTTTAAGACAAACCCATCTGGCTTTCTATCCTTATTCATGTGCCTTCATTAATCACAAAAAAATGTGGGTGAAATCTAAAGCAAACCCACCAAAATAAATAAATTCTTTTTTTTTTTTTTTTTTTAAATAAAAAAAATTTAATAATTCTAATAAAAATAAAAATAAAAATAAAAATCCCGAAAAGGAAAAGCATGATTCTTGTGGCTTACGGCAGAGATGAGTCACTTTCCCTCCACCTTATAAATACACCTTTCTATTTACCAATTTCTCCTCCCTCTTTTCTCTTAATTACATTCATCTCCTCTCCCCTTTAATCATTTTCTTTTCCTATTATTTTACTCAAGGTACCTTTTGTTTTGTTTTTGTTTTTTTTTTTTTTTTTTAATACTGCATTTCAATCTTATCTTATCTCTAGTGTTTATTTTTTATCCAATGTGATTGTAATTAATTATTATTTGACCATCATTTTTAATTACTGTCATAAACTTTTAGATAAATTTCAATTTATAAAATTTCTAAAGTTGGGTATTTATTTATTGTAATGAAAAATTATAATGTTGAGAGTAAAATAATAGTTTTAAAAATTTATAATTTTGAGGGTTATTACCCATTTCTTTATAGCCTGTTACCAATTAATATTACTTAATTGCTGACAAGTAAGCTGAATTTTTTATTTTTTATTTTTTATTTATTTTTAAAAAAAGAAAGAAAAATTGAAGTTCAAACTATAATTTGCACTCTAATTATGAATTATTAGACTTACTAAATAAATATCTTAAAATATGTTCACTAATAAATTCATTTGAAGCCAGACGTACTCTTGTACATATGTGTATAATATACACATACACATATATGCAAATTCGAATACTATATAATTTATACCGTAAGTAAGTACTTTGAATGATAAGCTCCTCGCAATCCTCCTTTTCAAGTACTTATCAATTTCGTTGACTAATCCTGCTTTTTAAGTACTTGGAATTTGGTTACAATTAGTTTTTACTTTTTCCCTATAAAAACTATTTTTGTGCATCATTAATACTATTTTTACCACCATTTTAATCACCAACTTTCTCAAATTAATACGACGCATTTAAAATGTTTATCTACAAATTGTTGTATTTTAAATAATTAAAATAGAAAACTCATGTTATCACCCATGGAATTTGATATTTACTCGTTAACAAAAAATTGCAACTTCAACAAAAAATTATAATTTAAATAAAACTCAACCATATAGACTTAAACGATACAATATTGTGAAATGATATTTTCGGGTCGGGTTCAAAATTACCCTTTACAGAGAGATTATAGAATCCCCCACCACCACCGTGCATGCAGAATTGAGAAGCTTCCAAAGCAATCCATGGCGATCTCCCATTTTACGTACTGGTTTAAGCAAGACGCATTAAAAGCAAATTAATTGTTTGCGTCAGCAAATTTGGACAAAAAGAAAACCCGGTTTGTTCTTCCCAAGGGGCACCCCCTGCCTTTCCTAAGGGCACGCCACGGTTAACCAAACCAATTCATCTGAACCACCTTCTGTTATGGTTTCAATGGCCATCAACTGTTGTTAGAAAAAAAAAAAAAAAGAATTGACCAGTTGGGGTAAAATGGGGAATTCACAATAGGCAGAAATAAATAACTGGAGATCGCTTTTACTTACTTTTAGAGCAAGTTGCTGGCGTCTGAATTTTTTTTTTTTTTTTTTTAATAAAAAAAAATATATATTTCATGATTTTTTTTTTTTTTTTTTTTTTTGGGGTTTCTCAATTCTCAACTCTCTACGGTGGTTGAACCCGAGAACCCGTGATGGGTTACCGGCTACATTCGGTCATACTGATGAATGCACCCGATACTCCCGGTCAGTAATGAGACCCCTTGTTTTTTGGAGAAAAAATTCCCAAGTTTTGTCCTTTATTTTTTGTTTTTATTTTATTTCTTCATAGATTTATAGCAGTAGGGTGAAGAGGAGAGAGAATCTAAATAGTGTGATGCCAGCTATGAAGTTGAAGGATCAAAGCTTTCTCTGAGGTCAAAGCTGGCAATTTTCTTCTCTCTTTTAGGGCTTTGTAATTTCTCTCTCATCATCATCTTCTTCCTATATTTCTCTACACCCTTTTTAAATCACTCTGCATTCCTTCCTGTTTTTCTCACGCATTCCCCCTCATTTTCCCTCTCTCTCTCTCTCCTTATATATAATTTCTCTTATTTCTTTTTTTTTTTTTCCTCAGAGGAGATAAGAATGTGTTTGGTTTGAGTGAAAGAAGGAGAAGAGGGGTTCTGTTTTCGTTGTGGGTTGCTTGTTTCTTGTTCTGACTAACTGAAACCATTCTTCTTTCTTCCGAAAACGATAACAGCTGAAACGACCAGAGAAACCATGCCCGTTCATCCTTCTCTAACTGGTACCGAAAAGAAGCACTGGTGGCTTAGCAACAGAAAGGTATAACCATCTGGACTCTGATCTCTGTTTTCACTCCAGTAATTTATAGTTATCTTTTCGTGAACATCGAATTTATAAAATCTCCGCATTATGCGGATTCACTTTGATTTTCTCTCCCCGAAATGAATTTCGCTGCATTGTTGCGTAAATGCTTGTATTGAATGTAATCGACATTGATCTGGATGTACAGCTCGTGGATAAGTACATTAAAGACGCGAGGACTCTTATCGCTACCCAGGAGCAAAACGACATCGTATCTGCACTCAATCTCCTCGACGCGGCTCTCGCTCTTTCGCCTCGCTACGAGGTTGCTCTAGAACTTAAAGCGAGATCTCTGCTATGTCTCCGGCGATTCAGAGACGTCGCTGATATGCTGCAGGACTACATTCCTAGCCTTAAGCTCGCCAGCGAGGACTCTGGTTCGGCCTCCGCCGATAACTCGTCGACGCAGCTGTCGCGAGAGCGAGTCAAACTTCTCTCTTCTAACAACTCGTCGTCCGACTCATGGGATCGCGATCCGTCGTTCAAATGCTTCTCTGTGTCGGACTTGAAGAAGAAAGTGATGGCGGGGCTGTGTAGAAATTGCGAGAAAGAAGGGCAATGGAGGTAACGTCTCATTATCACTACTCCTCTCTGTTATTATTTGATTTTATTTTCGTGCGGGTTTTAGTGTTATTATATATTCTTATCAGTATTGGAATTTCCAACTTTTGACCCGTAAAACGACATTAAAAAATTCGTTTTACATTTCTTATTTATGTTTATATATTTTAATCAATGGGAATAGCAATTGGTATTCGATTTTCTTAGTAATTTTTTTGCATTTTTAAATATTAAAAATGGTAATATATATATATATATTTTTTAATTTTACATTATTTTAGTAGACATATTTGGGGAAGCAAAATAATCAATTTTGTAGCCTAAAAAGTTGAAATTGCATAATAATAGCTTGCGGTGCATGCCAATGAGTAGCAAACAGTTGAATGTTATTACTAACAAAATAATATCGTGAACTCCGATTTATTTTATTTTTCTTTTTCGCCAATTTGGAAATTTCACGAGATAAAAATTAAAATTTTGTTTAAAGAATAAAATAAAAATACATTATACAACTTGGTCGCCACTTGGCTTCCATGTGAGTTTTTTTTTTTCCCCAATATTTTAAGCCGTCAAGATAATTAATTATATATTTACAAAATAACAGTAAACTGTATCATTATCCAATTGAACCGACCCGATTTTTTACTGGATTTCAGGTACTTGGTGCTGGGACAAGGATGTTTCCATCTTGGGTTAATGGAGGATGCCATGGTGCTTCTGCAGACAGGCAAGCGCCTGGCCACCGCCGCGTTCCGCCGGGAGAGCATTTGCTGGTCGGATGACAGCTTCTCCCTTGCCAACTTCCCACTTGCCTCTGACATTTCAGCCGCCGGCGTCACTGCCTCCAATCAGTCACCGGCAAATGCTATCGTCATCCCTTCCCGGTCCGTGACCGAACTGGAGAGCGTCTCTCAGTTACTCGCCCATATCAAACTTCTCCTTCGCCGCCGCGCTGCCGCTTTGGCTGCGCTGGACGCCGGCCTTTACTCCGAGGCCATCCGGCACTTTTCCAAGATAGTTGACGGGAGGCGCGGCGCTCCGCAGGGTTTTCTGGCAGAGTGCTATATGCACAGAGCCTCGGCGTACCGGTCCGCCGGCCGGATTGCGGAGGCCATCGCCGATTGCAACAGGACGTTGGCTCTTGAGCCATCTTGCATCCAGGCTCTGGACACAAGAGCCTCCCTTCTAGAGACCGTACGTTGCCTCCCTGATTGCCTCCATGACCTCGAGCACCTCAAGCTCCTCTACAATGCCATTTTGCGGGACAGGAAGCTCCCTGGTCCGGCATGGAAGAGACACAACGTTAGGTACCGGGAGATTCCTGGGAAACTATGTGCATTGACCACCAAGATTCAACAACTGAAGCAGAGGGTTGCTTCGGGTGAAACAGCCAATGTGGATTACTACGCTTTGATCGGACTCCGACGTGGGTGTTCCCGATCGGAGCTCGAGAGAGCTCATCTGCTGCTCTGTTTAAAACACAAGCCTGACAAATCCACTAGTTTCATCGATCGGTGCGATTTTGCCGATGACCGTGATCTCGATTCCATCAAGGACAGAGCGAAAATGTCTGCTCTGTTACTTTACAGACTGATCCAAAAGGGTTATTCCAGCGTCATGACTAATATCATGGAGGAGGAAGCCGCGGAGAAACACAGGAAGAAAGCGGCAGCAGCTCTGCAAGCCGCCCAAGCCGCAATCCAAGTCCAACAATCTCAAACCAACCATGAACCAAATCAACCTCCGAAGACAACATCCGATAAAAAACAACCTACAACTCCTCCAGCCAACGTCTTCCAAGGCGTGTTTTGCCGGGACCTCGCCGCCGTCGGAAACCTTCTCTCCCAAGTTGGATTCAACCGTCCACTTCCAGTCAAATACGAGGCACTAAGCTGCTAGATTCTTGCTCAATCGAGTGAAGAAGCATCAAGTAAGATAATTACCGACGGGGAAATCTCTTCTCTGTACAAAAAACGAATATGTAATTTGCCCCTCGCCGGAAAATTTTGTCATCCTCTACCCTTCCTCCTCAATTTGTCTCATCTTAATCTTGAATTATCTACTACATGTACAGAATTTTCTTCAGTATCGAAATTTCTACTTTGGGGGTTTTGATTACCTTAACAAATCCTTTTAATTTCCAATTTTTTTTTTTTTTTTTTTTTGTTTAAAAAATTAAGATTAATCCCCATAGAATTGGAATATGAATGGCGTTAGAAGTTAGTGCTGGTGTGTGGAAGTAGGCAGACGGGTACAGAAGGTAGATAAGGAAAGGTAGCTTTTATCTTGGCTTCTCTCCCATGTCGTATGTAGTGGCATTTAATTTTTGCCTTCCTGGGGGTTAAGTTTATCCAAAAACTGACACACCCACCTGATATTCCCACTAGATTTCATTCATTTGCTACTCCCCACTCCTAACTTTTGCTTTCTCCACTCCGCATAAGATTCTTGATTGGGCATTGGGTTTGGGGGAAAATTATTATGGGGGCGCTCTGAAAAGAAAATAACGAGTGAGGAAGGAGGAGGGTGTTGTCAAGCACTCAATACGATATGGGACATGTCAATTTCATTAACAGTGATTACTCTTTCCCTTCTCAATTCACTAGGAACCCACCCTTTTACTCTTCTTCTCTTGCAACAAGCTACTTCCAAGGTGGGAAATTTCACCCTTATAACTTATCATATCATAACACGAGCTAGTTTTGGCAAAATTGAAAGAAATTTAAGTCCCATTCAACTAATTTTCATTATGTATCACTAAATTTATACACACAACAAGTCTCTGAATTCCACCCTATAAACTACAAATTCTACCAACTTGGGGAGAGGGGTAATTAATTAGCGAAGAGACAGAGCATAAAATACGGTAATTATATAGTAAGGAGGTTGTTGTGGGTAATTAATTTTTACTGTTAGGAAATTTATTGAACGTAAGGTTAATAATTTGAGGAGAAAAGCCTGTGGTGTTCTGGCCATGCGAAAAGGTGGCAGCATCATTATGTTATTGATTGCTACTTTGTCATTTTGCCATGTACCCAGATTGCCTTTGTTTGTTTTCTTGGTAGTTCATTTTACCAAAATTAAATTTAATGCCGGATATTTTTTTTATTGGCTTCATAATCACAGCTTTTACAGTGAATTAAAATTTATTTTATTTTATAAAAAGGTGTATATATCTCATAAAAAAAAAAAAAAATTGAAATTTTTTATTTTTTAATAGAGATTTGAACAAAACACTCCTTTTCAAAACTATTGAAGATTGGAATGCAAACACATTGATGGAGGTGATTATTACAAAATTATAATTAGTCTCCTTTGATTAAGCTAAGATTAAGGCAATCAAATCATAATTATGCCTCACCAAATTTCTTTTCCTTTTTTTTTTTTTGTCTTCTTTTCTTAACGGACGCCATTCCCTTTCTTCTATACAATTAAAATTATTTATAAGAAATTAGAGTTTTATTTTGTTCTCTCAAAATTTTGTCTTTGCAAAAAGTATCTCCCTTAATAAAAAGTTTTAATATTTAGATTGAAATTTATACAAGTCAAAAGAAAAGAATCCTTCTTTTATTACTTTAAAAAACAAAAAACCAACTTAACTTTGTAATCTTTTCTTGGCTTGCAAGTGATTTTAATATCCTTAACCATCGGCTTTGTTCTTGTACGTTACTCTTGTCTGCTTTTCTATTTTTTACCCCCCAAGATTATGTAATTTAATATATAACGTAGCAAAATTTAACATTTTTAAAAAAATTAAGCCTCAAAACACAGCATGTTCTATCAGTTGAATGACAGCCCAAGGTACACTTAAAAGGGCGTGTTTGGGAATCATCAGCCACTTTCACCAGAAAAAAAAAAATAAAAATAAAAATAATTTCTTAAATTAATATATGCATATATAAATGTTTTTAATTAAAATTATTTAAAACAATGTTGTAGCAGCAGCTGGCTTTTTTGTTGCATGATTAGCTTCGCGTGACTAATGACTCGTACACGTGCCTTTGCTGCTCTTCATTATTATTAATTTCAAAAGCACTTAAAATAAGAAACAAATAAGCACGGAATTAGAACAATAGTGGAAAATTATACGCCACCCACATCTGCATCACTCTGTTTTTATACTCCCAATTTGCAAGACTTACACATCTGCATGCATACATACATACATACATACCCCACCTATAAAAATATACATTATATAGGCATAAGTATAGGTTGTTCTCAATTGCACATTTGACAGATTAATGGTTTTTAAACTTTCGTCTTTCTTAGGCATAATATTCCACACTGTGTTTTCAGTATATTAAATTATTTGTCACTTTTTCCTATTTTGAGATTAAAAATTAAAAGTAAATTCAGTTTTAATCTGAACTTATGAAATTCTCATCATCTTTACACGTGCCTTTGTTACCATCGTGTGAGTTTGGATTAATTAATTAATTAAAGTTATGGGGGTGTTGTAGAAAATAGGATTAAGGGGAAATAGAGGGGTTTAAGGGAAAATAACACGTGATGTTTGAATGTTGGAAACATCGGAAAGAGGGAGAGGTCGTGGCCAGATATGATGATGTCAGGGAAACCATGTGATGCCGTCTCTGTAAAGAATTAGGGGGGGATTAAGAGGATCCATTTTTATTTTAAACTTAATTAATTCACTAAACAATAATTATTCTGACAAATCATTTTCACTAATCTGTTCTTACTTTCACACTTTTTAAAATTTTCTTTTGCTAAATTATTTTTTTAATGCAATGTGAAAAAAATGGGAAAGGTACAGAGAATGTGTTCACTCTTTTTTTTTTTTTTAATAAAAAAAAAGAAAATGATTTTGGTCTTTTTAATTATTTTTTGATAGACGTGTTTGTTTTTTTGTGTTTGAATTTCGGGTAGTTGAGATCATTTGGTTTTTTGAAAGGGTAGATTTGATGGTGTTTATATTAATATATAAATACATTGTAATATATATATATATATATATATTCTAAACACGAATTAAAATGCAAATTTTTATTTTAAATTAATATTCCAATAACTTCAAGATGGGTTACCCATGTTTACAATTTTGGGTGCATACCTATTTTACTTTTAATGTGAATGCCATAATTGATAACAAAGGAGAGCAATAATCTCATAGTTCTTAATCGTTCAGATTAGGAATTCAGTATTATAATAAAAATAATTTATTGAACAAAATATTTTATATTTGAAAATATTTGAATAAATATAAATGGTACAGTTATTATTTTAGTACATTATCAATCAAACTATATTAATTTTTTTAGTTTTGAATATTATTAGTATTTAAAGATATAATAATTTTTAAAAATAAAAATATTAACATTTATGATTAATGTTATTAGATTAAAATTAGGATAACATTATCCTTATTAATTACGACTGGAAATCTCGCGTGGCGCCTTTAATGACAATCATTTACATGTCTACAACCATTTTATGGAGATTGGAAACGGAGTGACCATGAAGGCAACATGCTGTCTCTTGCTGCTAAGAAATTAAAAATCCTATTTTTATCCTAAATTTCAATTCTAGATTTTAAATACGATGCCCAGAATGGGTGGGAAATTAAACTTGTATCTCTCTCACACTATATATTAATATTAATATTAATATTAATTAATTTAAGAATATGAATATGTATATAATATTAATTAATTTATTTATTTAAAGAAAGAGATGTCATCAGACCAAATGGTCATAGGATGCTGCATTCAATTTAATCGTTTAATTAATAACAACCATTCTTATTTATTTATTGCTATTCCTCTTTTTGGGGTCGAAGTCAAACTTAGAAGGATATATCAGAGTAAGTTTTCCATTACAAGCTTTGTGGGCTTGAATCGACCCACTATAAACATGTGATTTGCATTTACTGGGCCGCAGGGCAATTTACAGCTGGATTATTCGTTAGATATATATATATATATATATATATAGCAGTGTAAGCAATAAATTTTTTAATTGATAAATTAGTACTTTTTTAGAAATTATTAATATTTACAACTAATATTATAAAACTAATGAGATTATCAGAATTGTAAAGGAAGTATAGTTTTGTAACTAGAAATTTTCAGTGTGTGTGTGTGTGTGTGTGTATATATATATATATTCAAAAGCTTACAGGTTTGTTAACACAAATTACAGAATCAATGTCTTGAAACCAAGCCATTTGATTTGCTTTAAAATAATTAGATTAGGAGTTTATGAGGTAACATGAATTTCCCAGATTGCCTAATCTATCTAAATTATTGGAGACATAGAAGCTAGGTTTCTAAAAGTAATGAGAGATTACAATATGAAATAGTATTTTCGAAAAAAAGTTTCTATTTACTTTGACCTGCCTAACCAAACAAAGTGACTTAATGCTACCATTCTTGAAATTCCCATTTTCGCTAAAATCAGAAACTGCTGGCAAACTTGGATTACCAGAACCAAATAACCCTGCATTATAATGATTTCTACACATCTCACTGCAACTTGGCATACAGAAATGTCAAATGCAATAGTAACATACCTCTTAAGGAGAGGTAGAGAGAAGCACAGATAAAAATCACTTCTGCTTTGATGAAGACCTTCCCTTCTTCCTTTTTTTAGAGGGACTGGAACTGCCTTTGTTTCCGTTGCATTTTGGGCAAAACCAGTCCCCTTCGGGCACTTCGTGGAGCGGAGGATCACAGCAATCTATGTGAGCTCCGGTGCCACATCCAGTGGAACCACTTTCATCGCCACATATCAACATAACTTCTTCTCTGTCGTGACATCCGCAAACTTGGCAAACTATGCCAACACTAGCAGCGGAATCAGGTGATAAGTTCGAGTCCCTGATGATCTCTTCTTGCTTGTGTTGCAAGTTTGAAAATGACTTCTCGGCCCAAGCATGGGTATTGAAGAGAACGTGTCTTTCAAGAGAGTATCCAGGCTTGCAAACATACTCCACCAAATAATCTGCAACAACACAGGGTATCTCATGCTTTACAAACTCTTGAATCCACAAATCAACACGCGGCATGCCAGGACTTATGATGGCAAAGTCAATGCTAGATTTGAGGAAGCGAGAGTAAGGGGGAGAAGTTGCTAATATAGTCCCACCTCCAGCCTTCACTACACGCTTCAGCGTATCCTGTGGAATACAATTAGATCGGAGAATGTTAAAAGAGCAATTTAAAGAGGAGTGTATATACTCGAAACCAATGAAATTAATAAACCCAGCAGTATGAGGAAAGCTCATAGAGATATGCAAGGAGGGGACATGACAGAGACCTTTGTTTTAGTCATGAGCAATAAGTCAATGAAATAAAAAAAGGAAATTGGCCATACCAAAGGCGGCGCAATGCATTCTCCATATACAATAATATTCATTCCATGGAAGGCACCATGACCTGTTTTCTCCCTTAAGAGTCGCCACTTCCTTGGAGCCTCTAGATTGATTGCACCATCTTCACTAAGGCCAGTCTCATGCCACTCATAAGGTTCCTCCGGCAAGAACCTTCCAGCCTGATTACAAGCGGTTAAGTAATCACTCCTAAGAACCCACCTGCATTGATATAATCTATCAGACAGGCCTTTCTGCTGAATAGCCCGAAGAGAATAGATACATGGCATCTAAAATATGTAGAAACAGTCTACATGACAGTGAACTGAAATTCTCATAACAAATGGCAAAATTACTAGGTGAGCCTAGCAAATTAATGCAAACTGTCAGAAATTTCAACTGGAAAAGAAAAACAAATTTGCTATAATGACAGGGTATCAATATGCAAAATCTCAAATCTAACAGGAGGATGCTTCACCTTCCAGATGCAGCTGCAGCAAATAACTTTTCTGTGCGGCGAAGATCTGGAGTGATGAAATGTGTTGCCTGGTATGACCAATGATGTGAGTCTCTGCATAATCTACCTTTCAATCGCCTAATAACCTGCTGAAATTCTTTTCTCTGTAACCGATGGCCACTCAATATAAACCATGTCGGCTCAGTGTACACTTTGTTCAAAACCTTTCCACCAGGCACTGTCTTAGAGTTAACTTTGGCAGATTTTTTACTGTTCGTTAATGGCTTCTTGGTAGATTTAACAACTTTGGTTACAAGTTCTCCCTGACAAGAATTTTGGCCTCCACAAAGAATTGGCATGTTCTCCTTCTCTGCTTCTGCAGAGTTAACGAGCTTACTCACAGATTTCCTGCGGCTAGTTTTGCCTGTAGAACACAGCACAGTCTTCTCCTTTTCCATCTCCTTATTGTCAATATCCCTTCTATTTTGCCTCTCTCTCTCACCTGCATCCTTTGTAGGTTCTGTCGATTTCTCCACAGGAGGAAAAATCTCTGCTTCAGCTTTATTTGAAATTTGTTTTTTCTCCTTATTTGATTTCTTTTTGACAAGCTCACATTTTAAGACTTTTTCATCCACACCAAACTTCCTCCCGGAAACAACCCCTTTAAGTTTGATCCCGTCCATATCTTTCTCTGAGGCCATTGCATCGTTATGCATCGTAGCCTTAGAATTATCAAGTGCTTGGTGAACTCTTGTATTCTTTCCTATCTTGGCATCAGTTTTGGGTGCCAATTCAATGACTTTTGGATTTTCTTGATTATGTGCCTTTTTCATCTCCTGCTCATCTTCCTCTGGAGCCTCAGTTTCATCATCACCAAATTCATTCTTTCTAACAGCATCGACCTCAGCTATAATTTCTGTCTCTATCTTCTTCGTGGTTTCAGCACCAGCAGGAGGACATATCTCCAGTTCATTGCCAATCTCCTGGAATGTTGTCATTTTTCCGTCTCCTAAACAAGTTGAAGGGTTATCTTCGGAGGCATTCTTACTCAAGTAAATAGAGCCTTTTTGACTAACTGTATTTTTCATCTTTGCTCTAGAACCCAGAGTCTTCCTGGCAACCATTTTTTTCCTCAGTGGCTTGTTAACCAACATGTCAGTTTCTTCTTGAAGTGCATCCAAATTTAAAGCTATCTGGGACTTCTCCGTTACTGATGTTCTCTTACTGAGAGATGAAAGCTCAACATTTTGCTGGATATTTTGCAAAATCTCTGCCTCACCAGTCCCATTAACTGATTTAGCAATACCCAGATCATCATTATTAAGTTTCCTTGAAAAAGTTGGCTCTGCCAATCCCCTTATAGATGTTTTGAGGATCTCCTCATCATTAATATTATTGTGCAGAATCTCTGACGTTACACTTTCAGGGACAGAGACATCATCAGTCAATTTCTTGTCTAAACATGATGACTTGGTCATTGAAGTGCTGGCACATGAGTTAGAGATAGCAGGCTCATCCATAGAAACTCCATTGCCAGGCTTGAAACTATCATTTCTCTCAAGAGGACCTACTTCCAATCCTTGTTTTCTGCAACTAACTAAAGGACTTCCACTGACCCTTGATTTATTACTAAGTTCTATCTTCCGTGATTTAGAGCTATCAACCAAAACAGACATCACTCTTTTTTGGGGCAATATACTAGTTGACCCTTCTTCATTGCGTGATTCTCCATTTTTATGGGGAGTCTCAAAATGAATAGAACCGGTTCTATCTGTTGAAGGATCATGTGCATCTGTCACGTTGGAGTCACCAACATTTTGTTTCAGAGAACCATCTATATTGCCTGACAACTCTTGTCTAGAAATTGAGACTGTAGGCATCCTAGGTGATCTCCTTGAATAGCTCATGGCAGTAACCCTCACATTAGATGGGGAGGGACTTCCAGAACTTTTAGTTGTAGATGACAAATCATTTACCAGTGTTGTAGACTTTGGAGTTATATCACATGGATCAGGTAACTGAACATTTAAAGCATTCCCGTGGACACTGATTTCTTGACAGTCATCCCCCACAAAAGTATTGGCCTCATTAATGTTTGGAGATTGACGACGTCTGTCTTCTCTGTCAGGAGTTATCATTCTTTTAGCTATGACTGGACTGAAATCTTTGGTCCTACTAGAATTTGATTGCATTCCTGGCACCTCTGCTTCTACCCTAGGCAATTCAACAATATTTGAAATTTCAGTTTTCAAATTAAGAGGGCTCTTTTGCATGTTTCTTCCCCCAAGCTGCTTCAAGGGGGCATCTTCTGCCTCTTCTTCAGAATCCCTAGCTTCAGCATCCATCATCTCCAGCTCATAGCCACTGTTGAAAACAAGAAAAATCTTTCAGCTGTAATTACAACAAAACTTCCTTTTTCTTTTCTTTGGCTTGGTGGTTAAATCTTAATATACATTGAAGAATTTAGAATCAGAAGGTAAAAAGGTCATAGAAAAGTAAGCAATCAGAGGAGAGGCCTTTAGGTGCAAAATAACAGGCACCCGAGAGTACGACTAAAGAACACCAAGAAAAATGACACATGTTCTGAAGGCAAACTTACAAACATGCCTATTTAGCAAGTTCTAACTTGTGCACAAAGATTATAAAAGTAATTGCTTATCATACATCAAGCGCATGTTGTCATTTAGTTAAAAGAATTATTCTGAAATAAAATTTTCATATAGTCCCGCATGAATTGTTATAGAGCAACTATTGTATGAACTAGATATTGAAAAAGCTCACCTCTTGTTATAATTAGATTCTGGAAGAAGCTCCCAATCCCTCAAACTGCACAAAACAACATATTCTCTGAGTATTAACAACACATTTGTTTAAAAATCAAATGGCACTTCATAGAATATAATAGAAAATAAATAAAGCATAATTTACCAGTCTTCCAGCCAGCGGTGGTTAACAAGCTTTATCTTCTTCATCTTCTTTGCGAGTTCATATTTCTCCCCTGCACAATTGATAAAGTCTGTAAACTTCTAATACCATCAAGTACTTCTAAGAACCCAAAAGAAATTCTGTTGAAATCACATCATATGGTAGTAGTAATCTAATGTTGTTAAACATGTTCAGAAAAGAACTTAAAGCAATCATAAACCTATCAAGTATTAATTCCACCCAAATTATCAGTGAACTGTTGACCAATCCAGAAAACAACCAGCAAATAGAATAATTTGTAGTCACTGTATGTGATAGATTTTGGCAGCTATCATATTAGTTTCACCAACACCTTACCTAAACAACACAATGATATAAACACCAAAACTTACCCATCATCCACCCTGAGAAGGTTGAAAGACAACCAACCAGACTCAACAAATAAACCAGCTACAACAGATGAGAGAACTAAGAACAATCGCACATTTCCTGTTGCAACTCAATTCGGAGGTCAGAAGAAATTTAAACTAGAGGATATATCCTAGTATGTCAACTGAATGGATAGATAAAAACTGAAGAGCTGATAATGCGCTCGAATAAACAAGATAATGTACAAAGTTTATAGCCATGAACCCACGCGGGAGTTGCCAAACATGGCAGAACAAAGAACATTTTCAGCCTTTTCTCCAACAGGTAAATTGATTATGGAACAAGATTTAAGTTGGAAAAGTAAATAAGGATCCGACTTTGATGCCTCAAAGGCACAAAACCTTCAGCTCTCCTAAATCACCATTAGCTTTCTTGAATCAAATTACAACTGTTTAACTGATTTTATAATTAGTCAAACATTTATTTCAGCTGAGAGTTACCACCAACAAGCATCAAGTAAAACCAAGGATGCACAAATACCAAAGTGCACAATGCCTGAGAGGAAAAGAAATAATAGGGAACAAGTAGAAGAAATAATAAGAGTCAGTAGACTCTTGAACCCCTTGATAATAAATAACGCACCCTCAAACTTGTAGCATATTAAATGAGTAACTTTGTTTGCCACCAATGGCTTGGAGAATTCTGCACCCATCAATCCAACCATTGTCTGAGAAGAAAGAATAAAATTATAGAGCATTATATTCCAATCAAACAACCACATCCACTACAAGTCAAAAAGACAGAAAAAGAGAAGCAAAGGGAAACCCAAACCATAATATCATCCCGATCCTGCCGCTGGTATCCAGTCAAGCATATTATTAGACCTTTGGCACCCAGAATCCCATTCAAATCCTTGGGAGGTCTGTACATAACCTGTTAAAAGCTAGTAGAAATAAGTAAATACTCCCAAATATCAATTAGAGAAATCAATGCAGCTAAATTTCCAAGTTAGAAAAGGCAGAAAACAAAAAACTACAAATGTTGGAGCATGATCTCTAAGTATGTACATATCGTCACTTCCATTCCATCCATATTTAGCATCAAATCGATTATAAGGTGCCATACCAAAGGCAATCATTTTGTTGGTAAATAACATATCAAGTTGAGAAACAGCAATGGCCCATTTAATTTTTATTCAATTCCTACTCATTCATCATCCTGGGACTGAAACATGTGAGTAACTATATACAACATTACCAATTGAAGGATAAAAGCAAAAATAATTTAAGTGAATTGAGCCACAGGGAAAATTGAATCAGATAACTAATGTAAAAAATCTGCAGCAACTATCATATACAGATCCTCACCGAAGTGCTGTCAACGGGCATTCCAATATCAAAACTATGATCAACCCATAACCCAGTGACGAGTGTTTTCCCATCATCTCGAGCAGCAACACATACCGGATCATCCTGCATGAGTATGAATTAATAATTAAACAACAAAATCACAGCATAATTTTAATTAGAACCAATATCGTAGACTCCAAGTATGAAAACCAGAAACAAGGCTTACATAAGCAATCTTATCAACGATTACGTGACTACAACTTTGACTGTACTGACCAACATCAATTCCACCGCCACCAACAAGCCTAGATCGAACCTGGAAATATGTTAACAAAAAGTAATTCGTAAATAAATTGAACCTGTTTGTTCATCAAGTAACACAAGGACGTCAGTTAAAAACAAAATACTGCAGTCTGCAGACAGATTAAATACTTGAAACTACAAAATGGATCATGAATATTCAAAAATGCTTATCTGAGTGTTATATATAGAAAGACCTTGTGTTCGTTTACGGGATCGAATCCGAAGAGAACGAAACGGACACCGAGGAAAGTTTTGGACGGAGAACCGGATTCCATTTGAGGCGAAACCGCCTTTCCAGCCAAAATTAGGGCAAATCCAGATCTAATGGACGAACCAGAGAATACGAAGAAGAATATATTAACCAGACTTATTAAGAAGAAGAACAATGTGTATGATAGAATGAAGTTAAAGGAGAGTTCAGAGTTGGCTGACGAAACTTGCAGAGGAAGAGTGGAAATAGGGAGGGAAATGGGGAGGGAATTATTTGGTTTTTGGTGCATTTAATTTTGGTGCACTGGCGGGAGAGGGAAATTTTGGTGGTTCAATGAGATGAGTCCACGTCACATTGTGAGAGTTCTGGGTCGTGGACACGTGTCTGATGAGGTTTATTGAAAGTTTATTTTTTGCTAGTTATATAGTTAAATATAATACTTCAAAGTTCTTCTAATTATTTTTGTCCAAAAGTAGGTAATATTTTTATAATTTTCTCGAATTTATTCAACTGACAAATGAAACCACGTATGTAATTTGGGTGCGTCGACCACCCTGTTCTGTGTTTCCGTAGGCACGGGTAGGTGGGGAAATCAAAATGACAGAGCAGTCCTCCTCTATCGGCCACGTCCGGCATTTTTTAACGTAAATTCTTGCCAGATACAGGGGCATTTTTGGTACTTTATGCAATCTCAACTGCAAACGGATTAGTGGTAGATATAGGCTTTACAGTGTAGTAGGCATCCCGTTCCTTCTCGTCAACGGGAAAGACGAAAATCCTCCCCGTGATTTGCCTTCGTCAATACTCCGCCAGAAAATTCCAGAGAAAGAGAGAAGGACTAGGAAGGGAATCGTACAGTTATTAGGCACATGGCTTGGCTGACACGATTCTTGGCAGCGGTGGCTTTCTTAGCCATCGGCGTGATATTCTCGCCGGAGACTTTCGGATCAACGTCAGAGGGCCAGAATTCATCGAAACTATCAGTCTACCTGAAGCTAGTTCATCTCCTCAGCTTCTCCACGGCGTGGGGCGCCGCTCTCTGGGTCACCTTCATTGGCGGAATCATCATGTTCAAGTAATTCTCTTTCATTCCCGTTATAATACCTTATAATAAGTTTAAAAAAAAACGTCGTTAATAGAGTATAATTATATTTAATTTCAGCGGGTATTTTCTATCTTATGGTGTTTAGGTTTAGGTTTTCCTATTTGTCCTGTTTGGTTCATTTTTCTTCTAATTTTTTTAGTCGATTTCTAGTTTTACACTCACGTTAGGATCGATATGAATGATTCGAGATGATTTTTTACAGTCTGAGTCATTCAATTTCCTCTTAACTACTTATGGGTGAAAATTGAGTTCCTTGTTTTCTAGCTAAGTGTGAGTGTCCACTTTACAATTTTAGGGTGGAGTTGAGGAAAACTCATATGAATACTATAACTCAGAATTGAATAGAAATGAATCAAACAAAGTTGAATGATTATATTAACTGAGTTGTTTAGGTCAATTTTGATTAGTATAATCAAAATTGAGGCCATTGCATCACATTAACTGCTAGAAGGGGATTTTCTGTTTGAAATTATGAAGAAATGGGAGTTTAAATCTAAGGAGTCTGATTTTGTTTTGTTGTTTCTTTTTTCTTTTTACAAATAATGTAATTAGGAATCTACCAAGGCATCAGTTTGGAAACCTACAAAGCAAGATGTTTCCTGCATATTTTTCTTTGGTGGGTGTGTGTTGCGCGCTGAGTGTGGCAGCCTTTGGTTATTCGCATCCATGGAAATCATCTGCCACTGCAGAGAAGTATCAATTAGGGTTTCTACTCTCTGGTTTTGCTTTTAATCTCACCAATTTGTTTGTCTTTACGCCCATGACCATTGAGGTAAGCAAGCTTGTTTTTTTCCTTTTTTTTTTAATTCACATCAATTTGCATTTTAGCTAGATTTAAGTTTCTTGCTCTGAGCATCTTAGTTCACTAAAAATAATGGAGTGTTTGGAAGTATTAGATAGTCCCATTGTTGGAGTCGTTATATGACCTCCTTATTTAAGTTGGATATACCCTTTGTGAAAACTTGATTGTCAAGGAAATTGAGGGAATGGTAATGATTACTTGCAGATTGGGGTAGTTGAGTTCCAAATTATACTAGCCAAGCAACAAACTAACTAGTCTCCGTTGCCTAGTTCCAAATTACTTGGCTTCTAGTAAGTTAAGATAACTTAAACTGTTGGGGAAAATTAATCCCTGAATTATGCACAATCACATCAAAGTAAAAATAGAAAGAAAAAAATACAAGAATTTTATGTAGTTCAGCAGTATGTCTACATTCACGGGTAAGACCGGTAAAAAAGAATTTTACAATGTAATATGATAGTACATTACTAATAGATTAGTAAACCTATTTATAGAAAAACTACTAGAGTTCTTCACAAATAAAAGCTTTCTAGAATATATATCAAATATTTTTCAGTTTAAATATAAAGAAAATCCAAATAAATTATTCTCATAATATAGATAAATATCACCAAAATTCAAGACACATCAACAAATTTTTCTCTTGGCTTGAATTTCCTCTATTAAAAAGCAGTTAACCATTTTATCGCACCGTCTTGCCAACATGCCCCAACTGGGACGCTATTGAGTATCACCTACTTTAGCCAAGTTTAGACCATACCTAAACTTGCTATCTGATCCCTGAAAAAAAGTGACATCTGCTATCAAGTTCTTCACACACAACACCAATAATCTGATTAGCATCTGAACTCCCTAGTTCCTGCAAATCAATTGGCCCTACAATTGACAAGTTATATGCAACCAGATTCTCATACCTTTGTAGTCGTTTAATTTGTCTTTTCTCTCTGCCTATTGTAATACTATATGGTTATTGTTGATCAGGTGCACTATCACCCTCTTGATTAAGATCATGCACTTCATTCCTTGGACCATTAGACTAAATTTTTAACTCTGCTTGTTCTCTGACATCATGATTTGATTCTGCCTTTGTCTTCATCTTCTGACTGTCTAATGAAGCAGACTCATTAAATGTCACATATCTGCTGATAATCAACCCTGAAGATTTAGGATCACTACACCACAATCTGTAGCCTTTCACTTTAGATGCATACCTCAGAAATATGCACTTCTTTGCCTTGGCTGAAGCTTACCATCCCTAGCATGAGCATAAGCAGGACAACTAAACACTCTCAACTGAGAGTAATCAACATGTAACTCAGACCATATCTTAAAAGGAATTTTACTCTCAATAGTTGTGGATGAAGATCTATTAACTAAGAAACTAGTAGTATTCACAGCTTCAGTCCAAAATTCATGTCCCACACCTGAATGAGATAACATATTTCGTGCCCTATCACAAAGTATCATATTTATGTGTTCTGCAATACCATTCTATTGTGGTATCCTAACACAAGTGCGGTGTCTCACTATACCTTCCATACTGCAGAAATCATCAAACTCATGATTTCAAACTTCCAACTCATTGTCAGTCCTAAGACATTTGATCTTCCTATTTGTCTGCTTCTCAATCATGGTTTTCCATTTGAAAAATGTTGAAAATACTTATTTCTTGGGTTTCAAAAAATATGTTCATACATTCCTAAAGTAATCATCAATTAATGTCATAAAATACTTGACACCACTTTTGGAGGAAACTCTGTATGGACCCCTTAAGTCAGAATAAACATAATCCAACTTACCTATAATCTTGTGCACTACCTTTTTGTTGAATTTCACTCTGGTCCATTTGCCAAAGACAAAGTGTTCACAGAAACCCAAAGTTCCTTCTTTATACCCATTCAACAAGCTTTGTCGGCTCAAAACAGATAACACTTTTGTCACTCATATGACTCAAACGCAGATGCCATAACTGATTTTGATTACTACTCCTTGATGTTACAGCAGCTTCCCCTAAAACTACATTTCCCTTAAGAACATACAATATAGATTCTAAACTGTCTTTTATGAGTATTTCGGAGCCTTTACACTTTAAGAGTATCATTCTCTACATGATATCTGTAACCCTGAGTTGCCAATATAGAAAGAAAAATTAAATTTCTCTTCATCTGAACATGCCAACATTCGATAGTTGTGATGATATCATCAAACTTTTTAATCTAATATTATCAGTCCCAGCTACAGATAACGAACTGTCATCTCTCATATACACGGTACCACTCATCTGCTTGTAAGTAGAAAACCAATGCCTATGTAGACACATGTGAAATGTAGCACCAGAATCAAGAATTCAGGAGTTCTTTATATTATTCGAATTCATATATAGAACTACCCCAACACTACTGCTATCACTATCATCAAAATTATTCTTGTCGCTTATATTAGCAGAACTCTCCTGCTCTTTTCCTCTCTTCAGCATAAGACAATCTCTCTTAAAGTAACTTTTTTCCCCACACTCAAAACAATTTCTCTTTTTATTTCTAGATTTTGATTTGCCCCTTCTCTGTGTCCTTCCCCTGCTTACTAAACATTCCTCTTATGTTTTATACTTAGTAAAGTTCTTTTACAACTTTTTTATTTTAGTGCATTACTAACATTATCTAGTGAAATTCTAGTTTTCCCATACAGCAGAGTATCAACAAATGTCTCATAAGAATATGGTAATGAATACAGAATAATCAATGTATAATTCTCATTTTAAATCTTAATATTTATGTTATACAGATCCATAATTAAAGAATTAAACTCATCAAGATGATTTTTAATGGGTGTACCTTCACTCATTCTGAAATTGTACAATTTTTTCTTCAGATAAAGGCTGTTCGTCAGCGATTTTACACAGTACAACTCTTTCAGTTTCTTCCATGCAACTGAAGCTGACATCTCTTTAGCAATCTCTCGTAGAACATTGTCATTGACACTCATAAAAATCGCACATAAGGCTCTATCCTGCATTCTTGCCTTTTCTGACTCTTTCATACCCTCAAAATATCTTTGTTCAATTGGGCCCCACAAACCTTGTAGCACCAAGGACGATCTCATTCTAATCTTCCACAGATTGAAACTCGTACCACCATCAAGCTTCTCTATCTTATATTTTGTGGATTTTATCTCGAATCCCTAAATTGTTCACCAAAAAACCAAACAAAGAGAAAAAAATACTGTCATAAAACAAAAAACACTTACAGGTATGCATAGAAAACTACCTAACACAACCAACGGAACACCACATGCTCCTCTATGCGCTATCACACGCGCGATCATCGAAGCTGTCACGTGCGGCCAACGGCCGCCTCTCACTGTTGCCGGAAAACACCAAAAAATGCATAGGAACGTGCGACTCGACGAATCCGACACGGATTTGGTGAAGATGTGTCGAAAAACCGTCGAGAATGCCGTAAATCGGGCCTCGAGCGAATTGGGTGCTGTCGTGCTGGTTCGTCTTCTCTGGCGCACATTCTCCCTCTCCAGCTGGTTTCGCGCACAAACGGGGCGGGACATCGCGGATCCGCCTTCAGTTTCTCTTCTTTGGCCCTCCTCACGCGGACACAATCTGTTTTTCTTCCAGTGATCGCAGACCAGTCGTCTTCTCCAAGTTGCGCGGTCCCTCTTCTCGATCTACTTTGGTCGCGCCGACAGATCCTCCCGCACTGCGATAGCAACCGAGTTTCTTTTGCCGCCGCATGCAAGAAACACGCAGATGAAATCTGATCTAGTTGCACTTCGTATTCTTCGCCGGAAGCCGCCACGCCGGAGACTATTTGGTTGTATAGGTCCGATCGAACAGGTTCACAGTGACTTTTCAACTTCTTCTAATTTTCTCTTACTAACCCGTGGTCAAACCCGAGCTCTGATACTACTTGTTGGGGAAAATTAATCCTTGAAGCATGCATAATCACACCAAAATAAAAGCGGAAAGAAAAGAACACAAGAATTTTACGTAGTTTAGCAGTATACCTACATCTACGGGCAAAACCAGGAAGAAAGAATTTCACTATGTAATTTGAGAGTACATCACTAATAGAGTTAGCAAACCTAGTTATAGAGAAATTAATAGAATTTTTCACAAATAAAAATTTTTTAAAATATATATCAAATATTTCTCATGATAAATATAAAGAAAATTTAAATAAATTATTTTCAAAATATAAATAAATTATTTTCAAAATATAAATAAATATCACAAAAATTCAAAACATATCAATAAATTACTTGGCTTCTAATAAGTTAAGATAGCTCAAACAAATATATCACCTTTCTACTCAATATCACTAGAACTTTTTTGCATTTATCATAAAACTTGTTATAGTAAAAATAACATATTTGGCAATTTCCTAATAATTCAAGTTCTTAGGTTACTTGGCACAGATAATTATTTAATCTTTTTGATCTTATTAACCAAAGAGATACAACTTTGGACTATTGTTAGCTCAGCACCAATCAAGAATTTCAAGAATTCTTGTTATACGCTTGTTCCAACCGTCAAATCTCTTTTCTAGGTTTAGAGATATTGAATCAATCAAATACACTTTTAACACTTATTCCACTTTTGGAAGAGCTTGTGTTATATCACCAAATCTCGATTTTTTATATATAAATATAATTAATGTATCTCCTTCATAAATGATTTTTTTCCATAATATCCATGAAAAGTTGCTTCTGGAATAGTCAAATAAGGCTTAGCTGATCTTATTACTATAGAGTCAACTTGAACAATAAAACTTGACCTGATTTTGGGTGGATTCTGTTTTTACCTATACATACATTTTCGCAAATAAATTGTCCAAGACTAATTGTTGTGGATGTTTCTTCACAATAATTATAATGATTTTTTATAGAGAAAATATCAATTCAAATTGAATAGATTCAAAATGATGTTACTACATGGATCGGGATTATAAATTCTCCCAGTTTCATCCATTTAAGTAATATTTAATTACTTTAAAATTTTGGTTTAAATTGTCAAGTTGAAAATATTTTGTTACCTAAATCTAATTATGAGTTATTAAATGGTAAATTGAATAAAAATTTGCAACACAATATATATTTATCTTCTGTATGAGAAAATCGAGTAAAAGTATAAGTAATAAATAAAATGATTTTATATCTGTTTTTAACTCTGGGAGAACTAGTCACCTAATTCACAAAATTTAGAAGTTCAAACGATACTCACTTTTCTACTTAGTATCACTAAAAGCTTATTTCTTTTACAGTGATAATATTGTGCAGAAGGCACCAGTCCCTGCTATAAATAGTAAAAGACCCTGTATGACCCCTGAAAAATTAAATGATAGCAAGTGACATTGGTTTGGTTTCTGTTAACTTTTAGATAAGTTGAGATCAAGTATGTTTAACGAATTTAACAGTTGAAAATTTAAAAACAGTTTAACTCGCAATAACTTGATTTAACACAAAAAAGTTACCTTAGACTACAGTCTCCACAAAACATTCACTAGTTCCCCTCATTTCAACAACAATCAGAATCAAACATTCTTGGCCATATTTAAAGAAAAAAAAAATGAAAGTACAGTGGTCATATTGTTCATGTTTCAGATTCTTATAAGATTTTCAGTTTAATGGTGTCGAAGTTTATGAATATGTTTTTCTTTTCTTGAATGTTATCTTGTTTTGGTCTAGATGATGAAGAAGAGGCACAAAGTGGAGAGAGAGCAGAACATTGGGGATGAAATCGGGTGGACAAAGAACAAAGAAGTTGCAAAGGTTAATCCACAGCTTGCAGCCATGAACAAGAAATTTGGAATGATTCACGGGTTATCATCGCTTGCTAATATCATGGCCTTTGGCAGTCTTGCTATGCATTCGTGGTACTTGGCTGGGAAGATCAATCTGTAATTTGATCTTCATCTCCATGGGAAGAGGAAGTTATTTTATAAATGGAGAGAGATTGAAAATAGCTGCAGAAAGACTTTGTTATCTTCCTCTTAGATGAACTGTTTCAAGTATTTCACCCTGAAAGCCATGTAAGATCAAACGTTATGTCTGTGCATCCTGTTAATTGAAAATAAGTGTTGGTCAAATTTTCTATTGAATTATCATCTGCATAGTATTTGAGACGAGCATTCTGATTCATGTTTAGTTTTGAAATAGTGTCATGTTTGGAGATTCTAGATATGAGGATTGTTAGGTCTTGAAAGTTGCATTTGCTTTGAGTTTTGTTATAAATTCAGGATTAATATATTAATTATATCTTGAAGCTTACAATATTAACTACAAGATAAATATTTTAAAAATTGATTTTAATTTTTAAAAGTTACTGTTAAGTTAAATCACGGTTGAAATTAATCTTTACAATAAATTAAACAATTTCTGTCAATTTTAGATATGTGGTGCGTGGTAAAAGAACGAAAACAGAAGCACATGATCGATCACTGACCCAACAAATTATTATTAAGCCCCATTTTACAAGTATTAATCCAGTAGGTTGTGTAAATTTATGCACAAAGGTACCAAGCCTCCCTTCCTGAGATATATGTAAAAATAGATATATTATAAAAAAATTTCAATTGTTAACTATATAAAAAGAACTTTATTTTTGAACTAAACATACATATCTTTGAATATAATTTTTAAAAATAATATACAAAATAGAAGGAAAATTTTTGAACACATCAAAACTGTGACATCTGTAAGCATTAAATTTTCTCCTAAAACAACTTTTTAACATAAAAATATTGGTGGGGGAGACACAATTGTTCACCTCCCCCACCCGTTAAATTGCTTCAATTTCTTCACCTTTCTTAAAGTTTCTCTCTACCTTTTTCAAACCCTATAAATAAATACCGACCTACTCGCATATTTCGGGCTCGTATTTTTTTCATCGTGTAAATGATCTAATTTAATTTTGATGCTGGTGACGAGTAGGTATTGCTCTAGTTTTAAAGAAAATAATCAAATCGATTGAGCTTGATCTTTCGACCCAAATCATATGAAGAAAAATTTTAGAGGTCGCGTTGGGAGAGGGTTGAATTTTCACTAACGAGAAGAGAGAAGGAAGTGGCCAAGTTTTGCATTGGTGGATGGGATAGACATCAATTTTGGCCTTCTTTGTTATTGTTCTGTCCACTCACACCAAACCTCTACATTTCTTTCTTGTCTTTTGCCTTCTTTTTGCATGTTTCTCTTTAAATTTTTAAAATTAATTTGCAAATTCATTACCTATTTTTGTTTTGTTTTTTTTTCCCCCTTTTTTGGTCTCTAAACTATATGTTCTTAAAATTAACAACTTGATTATTTTCAATTTTGTTAAACGGTTAACTTCTAATTAATTTAATGAATTTTAACTTAACGGTTATCTAAATTTCAGTTCACGATATATATTTAAATTTTTAACTTTTATTTAAAATAAAATTAGTATGTACTAAGTTGTACTAAAAAAATTTACCTTAAGTTAGCAAATAAAATTAAAAAAAAAAATGAATCCAACGCGGTTAAATATTTGCTCTACTTATAAATACACAAAATTTTAAATTTATAGATTTATATTCTCTCCAACCATTGACTTTAAAATGAAGAGCATTTTTAACCATTCTCTATATAACTAATTTACTTTATTTATAGTATTAAATTAAATAACATATTCCAACAAAGATTATTTATTTATTTATTTATAAATTTTTATAAACTTTTATTATTTTCCTTTTTTTCCTGTCATCTTTATTCATTTACTAATTTAAAAATATTAATAACCCAATTAAGCCAAAAAAAAAAAAAAGATTCTCTGATTTGGGAATTCTACATTGATATTTTGTTGTGAAGGCATTCTACACGTTTTAAGAAAGACTCAATTATTACAGAAAAGGATAGCGATTGATACTTCAATTAATGCAATTAATGGCCACAAAACCGGTGCGTTTTAATCAAATATCTTGTTTTCATCAATCTGTTGCTTTCCATATTTTCATTTTCCCACTGATATATTTCGTAATCATGCATCGACTGAGCTCAAGAAAACACCCCCCCCCCCTCCATTAATTCCCTTACTAATAATTCAACCACTCCTCATTTTATTCTTAATTCTCACAGTAAAAAAATATTCTACCCCCCATTTACCTTAAAATTTTACCAGGGACAGATGATAGCTCCGGTAAAAACTCCTTTCTGGGTCAAGGAGGTTATGGGATTTAGATTATAGCAAATAAAAATTAAATAAATTGTTTTAGCTATTTCCTTTTTCCCTTTATATTCCATTTCCAATTATTTCTCAAAGTCCTTCTGTCAAGAACAAGAATACAATTTGAACTTTTCTCTTTTGGCAAAAGAGTCAAGTCAATGAATAAAGAATCATCTAAGCAAGCTGGCAACCCACATGCCGCCTCCACCTATACATTCTTCTAAAATTCAAAGTAAACACTAAGTGCCAAACCAAATAAGCTGGCTTAATTGAAACTAATCACGCTGCATGTTCCCAGCAGAAACAGCCTTGCAGGTAACAAGAACACAACAAGCAAATGCATTTGCTGTGACGTCACGAGCCGGCTGAACCGCTTCAATGATTCTCTCCCGGTTTGTAGGATACCAGAGAAGTTGAACTGTTCTTGTCCCGCTTTAACAACGGGCCTCCCCATAATGATCCCGGTGCTAATGCTGCTCGGGGCCAATAGTTGCCACCAAACTTTGCGGCGGTACTCTCTTTTGGCCTTCCTTATGCGATTTAACTCTTGATGAATTATGCCCCTCACTGAGATTAGATAAGAATTCATATCGTGATCTCTCTGGATTGATCCTTCAGAACCATATGCACCACGGTCACTTAGTATCTCTAAAGGGTGTGGTGAGTTTAAGAATGCCATCTCTGCAGCTCGGAGATCTTTCTCTGAGGATTTGCTGCCTGAAAGTGGATAGCTTAGGAAGTACAAACCGCTGCCAGAAGGAAGAAGTTGATGATGTGGAGAGAATTTCTCCTCTGGTTGTAAAATCAGAAGCTCTCCCATTGGGGCAAACAATAGTTTCTGTAGATAAAGATTAGCATGAGCTAGGACACAACGAAACTTATATCTAAACTAATATTTTGCATGATACATAATTGAATCAATACCTGATTATTGAGACAAGGATGATTCCGAAAGTTGCCATTGACGGCCTTCAGAAACTCTGCAACATGATTAGGATAATTGCAAGAGAAGGCACGGGGCACAATGTCTCTATGCATTGTAATTGCCTGAACATGGCTGCGAGGCAACCCAAGTTTTCGAAGAAGCCAGTCACCTCCACACATAATGCATGGTGAACCAAATGTTATAACTGGAAGTAAGGAGGAAGCCGGTACTTCACCCCTTATAAGCAACATGAGATTTACAAGGAGTGACAAGCTTCCTCCTAATGAATGCCCAGTGAATCGAAAAGTAGCACGGTTTCCATGAGATTTAAGGTGGGCGCGGACTTCAGGCAGCATCTGTTCATAAATTCCTTTCGCAGCCTCATATATACCTCTATGTACAAGAACATCCAGATCCTGAAACAACAAAATGGATCACATTCATAAAACACAATTTGCCAAATTAATATATTTGAAGACATGTAATCCATAAAGTGTCAGACAAGTTTCATTTATATTTCCAATGTGGGTTTGGCAGGGTGGTTTTAACAACTTCTTTTCTTGCCAAGTTAAGGGAGGAGTTCTTTTCTTTTTTTCGCAAGTAAAGAGTTAAGAATAGTTAATCGATTATATAACTCTAGTATCCAAATGGAATGTTTGGAAGAGTTAAGAATGCAAGTGAAACATAGAGAAATTTACTCTGAATTTACCACAAGCAGATGTCTGAGTTTGCTACATATATATCTCCTTTGAAATAAATCAAAGACAGCATTTTCAGTTTTCAGGAAGAATTATACAGGAAATTACCTCAAACTGAATAGGTTCAAAAAGTAAATTTGCTTTCCAGGATGCCAACGACTCGGACCCCTGCAGGAAACACGGTAAAGAGAAGCGTTCAATGCAAAATGTACAAACTAAGGAACCACAACAGTTCAAAGTCATGAAATGGATCTTACATCATCAGGTGAACAGCAGACTAAAATCTGGAAATGCCACATGATATTTCCAGAGGTATTTCTTACCTGGATCACAAAAAATCTTGAGCCATTCAGATCGTCACAGATGAACCATTCACAGGGTGATGACTTTGTTGACTTTAAATCATCTGCAACAGCCTGCTTTACTTCCTCCTTTGCAGCAACAACAGCTGTCACTGAGTCAGTGGTAGCCATCAGATCAGCCACATCTGACTTCATAGCAATGTCACCACTTTCACTCGTGGTTTCAAGCAAGTTCTCAGTCTTCCAGGATCTGAATGGCAGTATGCTCTTTGTATGAGAATGCAGATAAGAAGCTGCTGAGGCTGCTATATGATATGCAGTAGAGGCACTTATCCGATAACCACTTCTATTCTGCTCCCTGTCTTCTAGTTTATCGTTTGGGAGAGATCCTTCTTCTTCGTTTTCAACTGAAACCTCATTTTTATCGGCTTTAATTGCCAATTCTCTCTTCTCTATTGATGAAGTTACAAATCGTAGACCATGATATTTCAAGAGATTTCCTGGCTAAATTAATCAAAAGAAAAAAAAAACTAAGGCATGAGATGGGTATCAATTCAAACCATGAAACCAGGGGTAGCCTAACAGAGAATTCACATTTAAACTACCAATTCCAAAATGCCTCAAGGAAAACATCAAATTTACAGTTTCAGGAAGATATATAACAAGTATTATTTTATGCCCCAAGAAAGAAGGCTTAAATGTTCAATAAGCAACAACTGAAGAAACCTTCGTAAATAAAATTCCTAACAGAAATAAGCTGGATATATCGTAAGTTATTTTGATTATTCTACAAACTTTTCTCTTCCTGATTGATTCTTAATCCTCATCACGCACATTTGGTCGAACATGTATAATGTAATGCTGTGGGACATTGAACTAGCACCATGATCTGTTTAAATGCAGCTACAAGTTCTTTCATAATGCACATAGGAAATTCAGCTAGATCTCCCAAATTCCAAAAGTAAAATATTCAGTTTATGAATATTATATACAACTCCAACTTTTATGGATCCAATGAATATGATTTAACCATCAATGAAGCTCAAAAAAGGCCATAGATCAGCTACCTATCCCAATGAAGAGCAGCATTAAAACCCAACAAGTCAAATCAGATATCTTACACGTTCAAAAACATATATAACCAAACAAGAACAAGTGTTGAATCTGTACCTTGATTTTTGGAATTGAGTACGCCAAGTTCCCCAGGTAGGACATTTTGGCATATAGCTTCGCTTCAGATAGAGAAGCTCTCCTCAGCATGCTCGAAAACGAATCTCTATCAAACTGCAACTCTTTTTCGTCGTCATCATCATCTACTCTACATTCATCACAAACCCTATCACTATCGTCCCTAGAGGCGTCACCATTACAATCGCTTTTATCACCATTAACGATGCCATTTATCCCCTTCTCTCCCTCCGATTCCCCCCCACCACTCTCCCTCTGTTCCTCGTCTTTCCAGAGCGAGCGTAGGTACAAAATCTTCATCACCCAGTTCCCATTTCTCTCCTGTGCGGACCCAATCTCTCCAATCTCGCTATCCTCAACGACGCCCCTTCTGCCATCTCCGTTATCCACCAGAACGGCGTCATCCAGAGCAAGCCCGTTATTTCTTTTATCCGTATCCCTTCCGCCCAGCCACAAAGACTTTAAAGGATACCTGAAAGAGAACCTCGACGACGCCGCTTTCTGATGCTTTGCCGCGGGCGCTGTTTTATCAGCCGCGGTCCGGCTCACCGCGGTCAACTGCGGTGCACAAGTACGGATATCGAGCGCTCCACCGACAGAGATCGTCGAAGCAATAGCATTAACCCCCGTGTTCAAGCACAGAGCATCCATTTACTCTTCTTGTTTGCTTTCAATGTCCGTTTGAATGTATATGTAAATGTTTCTCCCTCGATCAATATATAGATACAACTCTGTTTGAATGTATATGTAAATGTTTGTTTCTCCCACTCTTCAGGCGTTAACGTGCACCCACAAGCTTTGAATTTTCAGGCTGTTGTCCTCTTCTTGCCGTTTCTTGCTCGATCAAATCTTAAAGAAAGAGGACATAACATATGTACACGTTTATATACATATAAGAGTTGGAGAGGAAATAGAAGATGGAAAGGGAGTATTTAAGGGGAAGAAGAAAGAAAGTTGGGGACCAAACAGGTCACCAACCTTCAATTGACATATTTACCCCTGCAAATAAAAAATTAAAAAATCCATAAAATAAATAAATATTCTTCTTTTTTTTTTAAAGTTAAATTTTAGTCGTTGATCGGAGGACATTTCCTATTTGACTATTTCCGGACGATTTCGTATTACTCACTTGAACGGCATCGCAATTGCCCGTATAGAAGTCGGGCACGTGGGTGCGACGACGTCGTGTCGGGTACGTGTTGTAGCCAGCCGGATCTAAGAAAAGTGGGACCCACATACGACAAATAGTGGATATATTACATATGAGACTGCCACGTCAGGTTTACAGATGAACTATAAAAACGCCCAAGTGACGTGTCCCCAAAAGCTCCTGCCTTCTCCTCATTATCCTTTCGGTGGCGACTCGTGTCGTTTTGGGGCACTTTTTTGCGTAGGCCAAAATATTTATAAAAAAAAAAAAACGTGTTATTGAAATAATATTTTAAATAAATTTTCGTGTAAATTTTGCGTTTAATACGGAGAAACGCCAAAAAATATAGGGTAATAAAATCTAAAAATACAAATTTAATTGAAAGCATATTTTTTATAATAATTTGTTTAAATATTTTAAAATGAGATGAGTATACGAAATTATAATTTGGGCCAGATTAAACTATAAATCAGGCTGGACCAATGATAATTAAATTCTTAAGTTATTCAAGTTAACGTGTTCAATTATTTTTTAATATTGAAACACATGGACTTTTAGTTTTTTTTTTAAAATAAAAATAAATAAATATAATGCTACCTTGCATTTTTAATTTATTTTAATTATTATAAAAATATTTTTTTACTACAAAATATAATATATTTAATAAAATTTAACTTAATTTAATCACTGAAATTTTACTAATACATAAATAAATTATATTATAAATTATATTAAATAGAATATTATAAATTGATCTATAATATATCTACTACTTTATTAATATTATGTTATTAATAAAGTTTAAATTTATAACGTTTAAATATAATAAATTAGTTTTAACCACTGTACTATAATATTAGTAATAAATAAATTTTGATTTTGATATATTTTTTTAGTTCAGTTTCATATGAATTTGATTAGAATATGTTATTTTGAATTAGTATTGAATTACACCAAATTTGTCATACTATTTCAAGTATATTATACAAATATACTAAAATACTAAATTAGTCTTTTAAATTTTTTTAGAAAAATTTTGTTTCTATACTTCTAAAAATATTATAAGTTAATTATTGACAATTAATGCATAATAATATTATTAGTTAAAGTGTCATGTTGATCATTTTAGATATGTGATATATTATGATATTAGATGATAATATTTAATGACATAACAGTTTTAATATATAAAAATTTAATGAACTGATTATACTTAATATAAACATGATTAAAAAAATAAACTGAAAAGAGTAATATATTTATTATGTTAATTGAATCACAATGGCTTAATAAATATGGATTACAAATATAATTATGGTCATTATTATTGGTGTTCATGGCATAATTAAATAATTTTCTTTATTTTATTTAATAGGAAATGGTAATTAGGCGTTCATGTTTTATTTTAACATGCACTGATTAGTGTTCAACGTTTTGACTCAACTTTTATCATATAATACAACGGTGCAATGAATAATTAATTAATTTTATTTTATTTAAATTTTATTAATAATGTTGAAACATGATATGATAATTATGATTTATTTACTATCACATGGGATGGTAATGATTTGGCTTAACTTTTATTTTATTAATATAATTAAAATAATGTAATTTTAGTTTATACAATCACTTTTTATATTTTACAAAATTTTTAAATAAAATTTGTAGTTCTTATAATTCATGTTATTTTTTTTGATAAATTATGAATTAACAAAAATTCAATTATACATACATTTTAAATTTTTTATTAAATCATACTTAGTATTTGTCACGAGATTAAATTTTATTTAAAATATAAATTTTTTCATTTTATAAATATATTATAAACAAATAATAATTAATCCATAATTTTTTATTCATCAGTCTTATAATTAAATTTATTATTTTATTAATAAAATTTTAATAATTAAATTAAGATTTATTTTAAATAAATATTTTATAATAATTAAATTTTGTCGGTAGGGTATCTAACTACGGATAAATACCATATATGACTATTTATTTCATAAAATATAATGTGAAGTTTTATTTAAACCAAATTAAAAGCAACAAGATGTTTTATGAGAAAAATGAGATCAATTTCGGTCCATTTAGTTTGGTCTAACCCGATACCCTTTTCAGATCACAACCGGACCAAGCTCAATATGTGGAAGAATTTCGGGTTGGGCCTGGTCTGGCCCAACCCATTTGGTCAGAACCGGGCCTTTAATGGGGAAAGAAGGAGAGATGGGAGGCAGATAGCGAGAGATTTCATTTTTACCTCTTGCAATATTTATTCTCCTAAATAGAAAACCCCCATACTTCTGCAACTATTCTCCATCATTCCTGCTTCTAGATTCCGGGTCCTCATTGCCACCGCATAGAGCTCCATATCGTGTACGTTCAAATCTACGTGCTGTCATCGTCCACTGCCGTATTTTCCAGGCAGCCAGTATTTGCTGATTTGCTTCAACATTTGCTCGTGAATTTTGCCCCTTCGCGGGTAAGGTTTTTAATTGCTCAGCGAACTCTCCTTACTTCAATAGTCTATCGCTTTAATAATGGCAGTTTCTGCTTGTTGATACGACGTGCTTGATTTTTCGCTCCTATTTTCATGTTTAATTAGTGAGAGAAGTGATTAACTGGAGCTTGGATTTTTTTTTTTTAATATCATCTCATTTTTTTTTTATTATTGTCTTGTCTCTTCTCTCTCTCTCTCTCTCCCTCTCCCTCTCCCTCTCTCTGTCTCTTGCTGTCTTTCGTGACAAAGAGTGTTTTGGTTATTGATTAGTGGCTTTACAAAGTGACGGAGGTTGAGCTACTGTGGTGACTTAAGTCTGTCAATTGAGTGTTTGATGGGATGCTTATGGAAATATATCATGATTCGCCCTCATTCTATGGCCTAAAGTCAGCGCGTGACTTGAAGTTGCACTGTGTTGCTCTTCCTGTTGACAGTGTTTTTATCGTGCTTTCTGATCGACCTATGCATTATCTGGAATTTTATGAGCTTCCGTGAATTATGTTTCTCATGTTTGTTTGACGTTTGAGTAATTTTCAAATTAAGATGGGTTACTAGTTTGTTTATTGATGTGTCATTGTTTTGTGCGTTTTTTTGTTATGTTTCTGTAAGCTTGGTTTTCAAGTTTAGTAATTCTGAGCCTTTCGCTTGCTTAAATCTTCTGGGTCCTGTGGTGGACTTTATTCTGGTCTGTTTTCATCCTAAGTTTGCTTAGTTATGTTTCTGTTTGAAGTTCCACATTGGTTCTTAGCTTGTTTTTCGGGTTTCCATATAGACCTTGTTTTCAGCATATTATCAGGTTCTTTCCAGGTTCTACTTTAGTGGGATATATTAGTTTAATCGGATTGCTCATCTTCTTTCCTCTGGTCCCTGAATGACCTGGTGTTCTTTTCATGACGTGATATTTTAAGCTACCAGGTTTCAATTGGTCTACCAATTTGAGATTCAGTTAGATTTGTCAAAATTTTTCTTTTCCACTGTGTCTGTTATGATTCAATTCAGTCTGGTTAATTTGAATGGCTGAAAGCTCATGTTATTTAAACTCTGTCAAGGCATCTTTTCTTGTGATTCAGTTCTTTCTCTCCTCATCCATTACTATTTAGTGGTTTAATATGCTTTATCTTGTTTAGGTATGGTTTGTACTTTGCTTGTTGCATGAGGTTTCGGTTGAGTTCTTTGGGCTTTGAATTAGGTTTAGGTTGTGAAAGGTTTTTTGGTGCCTAGGGAATTTCAAGGCACCCTATTACAACTTCTTGAATATTATTTGGAATCTTATCTTCATTTACTGTTGAGATCTTTCTTTCCTTTTATTTTTGTCTTTAAAATCACCATTCAAATACAGTTTGCTAGTAAGCAATTGAAGAGGTTGCTATAAACAAAATGATGAGCCTAAACTTGCCTCATCTTTCCCTCCATTAATATATTTCTTAATGATCAAGTTCTTTTAAGTGTTTGCAAAATTTCTTTAATGATTAGGAAGGAAACATTGAATTAAATTTTGCTATCTTAGTCATTGCTTTCTTTTCAATTTGATTTGTTTATGTGAAAAATTTGAAGTTTGTTTTTATTTGATCTAGGTTGTGTTCAGTGAGTATTATTTTGAGGCAAACTGTCCGGCATTTTTTTCACTTAATACATTCTTTAAGTATGATTTCAACATTATGGACATGCTTTTAGAAGGGCAATAGAATTCTATTTTCTGCTCTTGAAACAAACAGCAATAGAGGTCAAAACTTTCGAAGAGATTTTGTCTTCAAGATATCTTCTGTCCTTTGGTAGACAATATGTATAATCTTTTATCTCTTGTCATTTGGTTTGGACTGTTTGGTTCTTATAAAAATGGTGCATACTATGTTTCCTTTCTTTTTCTTTTAATTTTTCTGTGAACCTTTCTGATTGCTGGCACTCTTCAAAAAAGCTGTCTGATCAGACGTCAATTATTTCAACAATTTTCTGGTATTTCACATAATAGGTGAATTTTATATGTTAATTGAGGGTTTCTTTATCCCTTTTTTTCCTTCGGTTCCAAGAAAATTTAGGAAAGAGAAGTAAATTTTAATTCTGATGTTGTTTTTGGTTCATTGAGCAGTCAGTAGGTTTTTTTTTTTCTTGAAATAGAAGTTATTGAAATGTTTAGTGATTGATGAGCTTTCTTTATAATTATAATTTTTTATTTTGAGAAATCTTTATAATTGTAATTTGATTGCTGAATGAAGTTAATTTCTGTGATTTATATTGAAGGATAACTTTTGGATAGAAGATGAACAACTCTGCACCACCATCAACCTCAAAATCAAAAGTCGGGTCATCATCACAGCCTGCTGAAACTTCTTTTAAGCGTAAGCGGGGAGTCTTTCAGAAAGATTGTAAGTGGTTTTTTCATTTTTCTCCTTGTTCTCATGTTCATGTGCGCATGAAAATTCTTAAGTTCATTGTCTGCAGATTGTGAATTATTATCTGACTTTGTTCTCTGCTACAGTACAACACATGATGTATGGCTTTGGAGATGATGCTAATGTAAGTTCTACCTTCCAATTTAAATTTTTTTATCTTTACACGGTGATATAAGGTTGTTATATCTTAATTGAATGATTATGTGCTGTGAGATTTTTGTCCATTGTTTCCCTTTTTCTTCCCTTGTTAATTCTCCAAAAGATTGACAAAAATATGAATATGGTGGTTTTTGCTTTTCTTTTTTGTTCATCTGTGATCATGTGAAACAATCTTCTCTTAACTGCTGATTGATATTGGCTCTTCAATTTAGGTTCCAAAGGAAGATCGTTTGACCTCACTCTTTTTCCTCACCCTCAAAATTTTGAAGTGGCCTAGAAGTTTATAACTTATTGACCTTTTCCTGTTAACAGTGGGATAGTAAAACAATCTGGCAAGTTAAAGAATGTCTGTAAGAAATTTCATTTCTTTTATTCGAGTTTTATACTAATTTGCATTCGGCTCTTTGAGGAATCAATAATTAATTTGTAGACTATTATCGTGTGTCTGGTTTATTTCCCATTAAATTCATAGTTAATTCAAAATTTCAAGTTTCATAGGTAGCTGTAGTGTGTATAATTAGAGTATAATTTGTTTTGCTTAAGGTTCTACCGGCCTTGATTTTTTTGATGGTAAGAATTCAACTCCCATCTCAAAAGGTAGAAATTGGATTCTCAAGATAAAAAAATTCAAGGTGGTTTTGATGGTAACTCAAGCGTAACGAATTGTATTATAATTATGTATATTTAGACTAATATGAAAATTAGAAAATACTAATTTATTAGGAATTAAATGAGAAAATACTTTAAAAAAAAGGAATTAAATGGGAAATAAACCAAACACAACCATCTAGTATTCTGTTTTCCTCAAAAAGAAAAAGTTAAAAAAGAGCCTTCTAGTATTCTGTACAGTAATCACCTTGATAGCTAATGCTGTCAGTGATATGGATGATTTTCGACTTATTATAATGAATATTGGGTAGCTGAATTTCTAGGAAAATACTCAAGAGAGCCATGAGTTCTCTAGTTGTATGGAAGAAAGATTTTGTGATGGCATGAAAACTTTATGAATGATATCTCTTAGTGATTTTTAACTGGGTTTGATTGCTGGGAAACCAGTTTGTTCATTTGATAGTCAGTTATGACTTAAATGCATCACATCCTTTGAGGACAATGTCACACAGAAATGCTTTTGATAGAGGAAGAAAGCCAAGGAATTATGAGCCATAGTCATGACAACTCTGATGATATACTATAGGCACCAATAGTCCGGAACTTTTCTGTGTTTTCATTAACCTCTGAACATACCCAAACTGCTTCCTTCACCTGTGGAAAATTTTGTTGAGTTTTACTTCCGCGAACCTTGCTTGATTTATAGTTCTCAATGAGCCACTTAAAAGTATGGAGTCAAGGAAGTCATATAACATCAAGGAAGTCATATAACATCATGTATACAGGCATGTACATAAGAGATGTATACATTGAGGTGCACATAGAGAGGCATGCATGAAGGCATGCATGTGTATGAACCTGTCTGTTTTTCTAATTTATTTTTTTTATTTGTGAAAATTGTATGGAATGAGTTTCCACATGATTCTTTCACCTATTAACTTTTCTAATTTTTCACCATCAGCCACTTCCGGAGACTGTGGCGCTTGTGGAGGATATTGTTGTGGAATATGTCACAGATTTGGTAAGTATTTTTTTGAGTTAGCATCTCTTTCTTTGAGTGAGGTGTACGGCAAGCATGATTACCTGCATTTCCATGCAGGCACATAAAGCCCAAGATATTGGATCAAAAAGGGGAAAGCTATCAGTTGAGGATTTCTTGTATCTGATTAGGAAGGTATTCTTCATTAGTGGTTTCTCTAATTCATTTGCAATAACTTAATATTTCTATCTAGTAGTTGATTTTACACCAATCAAGTTCGAGTTAACTTTTGCATGATGGAATCAAGTGCTTTACAAACTATCAATTTCTCTTACAGTAACTGCCTGCAAAATTGTTTCAAATGCTGATTGAGGTTTTCCTGAAGATTTTTCCTTTTTTTGTTGCTTTAAAAATGATTGCCATCCACAAATATGATCATCTTTCTTGTTTTTTTTTTCTGTATCTACAACCATTTGACAAACAGATTTGTGATTTTTTTGGCTATAAATGTTTCGCATTATAGACCTGTGGACTGACACAAATCAACCGCTTTGAAATTGTAGGACTTGCCAAAACTTAACCGATGTACGGAATTGCTGTCCATGCAAGAGGAACTGAAACAAGCAAGGAAGGCTTTCGAGGTGGATGAAGAGAAGCTGGCATCAGGGGAGTGATACAACAAAGATTTAGTCTTCATATAATGTAATTTCTGTTGCTCCGGTCATGCATTCCTGTGAACAAAATCATTGAAGCAACTATGGATAATAGGTCAATTACAGAAGTTGTCATTGGTTCTAACTTTGGCGTTCAAGTAGTGCGCTCCTTGTAACTTGTAAGCAGTTTTAATGGGAGCTTTTAGTTCCTTCCACAAAAAGCTATCTGCTGATAGTGGGCTTTTTCCAATGTATAATATCTTTATGAAATGTCAACGCCCTATTAGAGTTCATGTGCATTTAGAGTTAAGGGGCCATAGGATCGGCTCCTGAACTCCGCCGCAGGAGGTTCAGCTTTAGGGACCAAGTTAAACCTAGACATGATTTGTTTACACTGTATGACCTGAACAGTTACCGAGAGAAATCTATTCACGAAATTTTTTTTGGGAGGACAAAATTCAGATCTGCTTAAACAACAATAAGATGAAATAATTCATTGTAAAAACAAATTAAGAGATAATTATTTCAAATTATATTACTTGCAAGTACATTAACGTCATTGAATTTAATTTTTGTTTTCAATTAATGTCTTCTTATAAATTGATAATCAGCATTAATAACACGGATAGTCTAAGTGCCAATGTTAGCACCTACAACAATCAAAGAAAAAAAAAGCAAAGAGAATGAGCTTCATTACCAAAAATTAGAGTTCATATGGAATTTCAATTTCATCTACATGTTTCATCCTGATTTCTGAACAAATCACCATAACATATATTAGCTTATCTTTAGCAGCCAAAAAGAGAAAAAGCAGAAGGTTCCTCCATCGGCAAGACCTAGCAGAGTGTTATACAGCAGATACTTTTAGGCAGTTTGACTACATTCTGTTAATGAATGGGCAAAATTTAAGAGGATCTAGAAGAGAAAGGAATCCTAAACTGCCTGATTTTCTATGTAACCTGATCATGTTACAGTTGGAACTTCTTTGGATCCAGCCCATAAGAAAAAAAAAACAAAAGACTTAGAACCTTACATCCTAGCCAAGCACTGCTTTGATCTTTGACTTCTGTTCCTCCGTCAGAGATGTGGGGAAAAGAACTTCATATGTAACATAGAGATCTCCTTTCTTTGTGCTGAAGTGCAATGGCATACCTTCTCCTTTAAACTTCCTCACTTCCTTCGGTTTGGTAATTCCCTAAGAATAAAATGGCACCAGATAAATTGTTGATTCTTTTCCATTTTACACTGTTCTTTAATAATCAAATCCTAGAAAAAAAAAATTTGTGCTTACCTTGGAGCTGATATCTACTAAATGATCATCTAGGTGTTTGATGGTCTTCTCAAAACCAACAAGAGCTTGAACCTAATCAAGATTCGGGAAAGTAAATAAACAAGATACACCATATTTTCAATTTCATTTCAATTAAAGGTTGAATGTAATATGTCCAGGAACTATTACCAATGTTATGGTGACTGTTGTGTGTAAATCATTGTCTTCCCTTCTGAAGCGATCATGAGGTGCGGTGCGAATTCGGAACTGCATAAAATACACTTGTTATCCTCTATTATAAAACTAAACAAAACAATAGCAAGCTTGCACACCAAAGTCAAAGACTCACCTTTAGGTCTCCAGGTTCACCATCTATTATAGGTTCTCCTTCTTCATAGAAAACCACTTCCTGTAAAATGCCAAAGAAGAGAGTTTAAAAGTCCAAAACAGTGAAAGGAGAGAAAAAAGCATCCTTTGAAGAGGCAGCTTGTAAATAGATTATTTTGCGTTCCCAAGTGAAGGGCCAAGAAAACTACTTCACGTGGATAGAGGGTATAAATAATAAGCATATGATAGATGTAATCTGGGAACTCAGACCTTGCGAAGTGGTACCAGTGCACAGGCCAACATAGTTAACAGTACATATGAAGCTAGAAAAAGCAAAAAGATGTTCTGACAGAGTCTACACTACAGAGGCTTGATAAGATAATGTCTCTAACGACACCAAAAAATTTCAGGGAAATTAATTCTTATTTCCAAGTCTCTCAGAAACTTAAAGAGGCATTCAGGGATACTGCAAAAAATAGCAACCATAGCATTTTGAGTATAAACTTCAAAGATGAGCAAGTACCCAAAGAAACTCCAATAAAAAAATTGGAGACTGGAAATATACATAAAAGAAAGAACCATTCCTCAGGTTATAATCAAAAACCAGAATGATTATTGAGCTAATGCAGACAAGCTTCAACGAATCTTATGTAGGTATAATCTCAAATGCATTTGTAAAGAAGAGGATCTTAATTGCATTAAAGAAGAGAACAATTAGAATCTACTTTTTTTTACTCAAAACAGGGATGCAAATATAAAATAATACAGGATAATGATTCCTCCATATAGCAATAAGATATGTGTCAGACTAAATTTTGTAGAAAACATACCTGTCCATCTTGCATTCCTTTCTCAATATCAACTGTAATGAAATCTCCTTCCCTTACATATTTAACATTTTGGCATTGCTCGCAAACCTGAAAGAAACAAAAAAGATTTTTTGAAGGTTCAGTGATGTAACAGTTGGCACAATGGTTGAGACAGACTACATTTCAAAAGAAACTGTGCCAATGAGTTTGCCATAGGAAAACTAATGACATTGCCATCATTGGCACCCTTTGCATAAAGACAAGTGATAATACCTGCTCTGTCATCTGCTGGAACATTCCAGGACCAATTTGCCTGTGATAGACCTCATTCCTGCAGTTACATTTTCTTTTGCCGGGGGCTGGCTTGAGTACATTTTTCTCCCTCCAAACCTGATAAATCCCAAATAATTCCAATTTCAATAAAACAACCATATACCTAACTAACCAAAGTCTCTCTTTACTTTCCTTGACCATACCTAGCAGTGAAAATGGCAAAAGAATATATAGAGCATTAAACTTTCTGTCAATTCATAGTAGTAGAATTAATTTCAGTTCAAGGTTTATTGCCAAATATAGTTGTATAGGCAATAAAATCTCATAGAATTCTGAAAGTTCTATTTCATAAAAAAGGAAATAATTCAAATAGTTAAATCTTCGAAGTTCCCTACATCTTGGAACTACATCCATAAACAAACATGGCACTATATTGCACACCGATTTCCCTTTGTGAACTCTTCTGTTTTACCATGTTAGTAATCGGCAAATAAGATTAGAATATCATAACTGATTGCAAGTTTGCACCAAGTAGTTTGTGTCTATCAGTACAGATCACAATTAGCAAACGAAAACTGAAAGTATATAGAAGATTTACGAAGTTAAAGTTTAGAAACAAATGTTACCTTCAGTGAACCCCCCATGTATAAATCTTCCAGTGTTGCATCTAGTTCAACAATCACATCATCACCCTTCACCACCTTCTCTTCCTCTTCCATTGAGCCTGTACCAAAGAACCTAAAAGAGAATTCACCTAGTCAGAAATAACATATTAGGACCAAGAAAACAATAACTTGAAAATGATCAGTAGGTTTATTCTAACTTATGATAAGAAATGAGGCATGCACATAAAATACACAACATTTCATCAGGTATTATGGTATCTGTATAGAACATGCACAATCCCAAAAAAAACAGTTGCAAGCAGACAGTCCAAATCATTTCCTTTTTGAAAGAACAAAAGGATAGTCCAAATAATTATCACTATGACAATTAAAATCTGTATAAAAATTATGATAGGCATCTTTCAATCTTTGAGCATTCTTAGTAATGATCAAGGCAAGCATGGAAGACAATAAATTCCAAATCATGCTCGCTGATATAGATACAAGAATGGGTGGTCAAAGCAACAGGTATAACCATTAGTGCAACCAAAATATCCTTCATTTCTCCAAATTTCATGTAAACAATTATGAAAGCAAGAATTCGGAAAGCCAGGCAATTTCCCTTTCAATTTCATTCATCTATGAGAATATAAACAGTTTGGTCGATGAAGATAACCAAACTCATAAATGGCGCAAACTAAATAGCATCACTAACTGATCAACCCACTCATATCCGTAATCAGTATCAAGATGGTTTATGCAATTTAACGTATAAGCAAAAACACATTCAACTTACTGGCCAAAAATATCTTGAATGTTAATACCCATTCCTCCACCTCTACCCCCATTTGCTGCATGCTGTTTGAGTCCCTCTTCTCCGTACCTATCATATATACCCCTCTTCTCGCTATCCGATAACACCTCATATGCTATTAATTAATCCACAGAAACCACTCAGTAAGTGTTACATAAACAATTTGAGATAACGAGATATATTTTCAATCAAAACCAATTACAGCCCAAAAGCTAAACCGAGAAACAAATCAGTGACGGAAACGAAAAAGTTTACCATTGTTAATCTCGGCGAAACGCTTGTTGGCCTCTTCGTTACCCTGGTTCTTATCGGGGTGATACTTCAATGCCAGCTTTCTATACGCTCTCTTAATCTGGTCGTCAGAGGCACCTTTCGGCACTTGCAGAACATCATAGTAACTTTTCCTGCATTAAAATTTCAACATCTGTGAAAACAAACACCAACACTGCAATATTCCGTATCACCATAACCATATACGTCCGCAATCGTAAGCAATGTCCAGACATAATAGAGGTGCTTACGCTGAAATGAGGGTGAAAACGTAAGAAAGAGCGCATAGCAGGAACAGAAGCCTCGCCCCCGGATACGCCATTGAAAAACCAGGCACTAATCAAGATCAGGAGAGAAATGGATCTCTCCAAGCTCTGAATCTAGTGCTCCTTATGGATCTTGATTTCGCGATTACAGTGAAATTGTGATCCGAGACGGCTCTATGATCGTTTGAAACAAATATAGATCGCAAGTTTTGCAAAGGAAAGAAAATGAAGGAACTTATCTTTCGTGTGCGCGAAGTCCCCCCTTCCAAACTGGGGCGTATGGAGTTCAAAAGCTACGGAACACGATGACTGGTCACTACGTTTTTACAACGTGTTCTTTACTGAATCTAGCCAATCAGAGTAAGCTTGTAGCTATCGTAACCAATAGAATTAAGCCACGTCGGCCGTTTATTGTCATTTTTGTCATGCATCTCTTTCCCGGGCGGTCATCCTGCGAGGATGATCAAAACGACGTCGGTTAAACGCTCCAAATGACTACCTCTAAATGGGCTTGGTGTTAGTATTTGTCGTGGCCCACTAAATATGAAACCTTAAATTAAAAGCGTTCGGTCTGAATTATCAAAAGATATGATTACATCCTCTCGGTTCAAAAACTAAAGATCAAGGAACCAATCAGTTTCGTAAGGTCTCCGTTCGATTCTAATTTTTTTCTTATAATAATTATGGTTGAAATTAATTTATATAATTTTATAAATAACTTTTATCACTCTTTAAATAAATTACCATTCAATATTTAATGCAAATATTTAATATGTAAGTGTTAGTCAAATTCACAGCTACTACATAATTGTATAATTTTTTTCACCCATATCTAAAATTAATGTGTGCCAACTTTGTACAATACTAACTATTGTAATGTTAGCAAGTCAAGTATTTGATAAATTAATAAAATTAGACCGTTATAATTCAATTAGTATAAGTTTTCATACAATAGTTCGTACCGAAGCATTACTTAAATTCTCCTTCGGTCCAACTTTTATTTTGTAGTTTTGCAATAAAAAAGATAAAAATTCAATCAAATGTATAGAATAAAAAGCACTTATATAATTTCAAATATTTTTTAAAATAAAAATAAAAATTAATTGTTGTTTATATTACAATTACTTATTTTTATCGTAATCATAATAGTTTATTGGAAAAAAAATCTAACTTAACTTTAGATCGACTGAATAAAAAATACAATCAACTCATAATAAATTTATAATATTAAAAAAATACTAAATATCTTGATATAGACCAACGTTCTGATATAATATAGATTAAATTGAGAATTATAATATTTTTTGTTTGCTAAGTAAATTTTAGCTTATATAATTCATGATAGAAAATAGAATAACTATATTTTTTGTATTACTACTATTTTGTCATGTTATATTTATAATCGTCAAACTTTATGCAATATAATATCTAAATAATTGAAGTGATGAAATAATACAAGCTATAAATAACAATGATTGTGATAATTCTATACAATCTAGATACCACTCTCTTAGTGAATTAAATGATGTAATTAATTTTCTAACAAATATGGAACACAACGGAGATCTCTAAATTAAATTGAGTACGTACTAAAAGACAAAAAGAAAACCATAATCATAAATATTTTGGAGCTTACCGACTCTCATATCAACTTATAAAATACGAATTACTTAAAAAAATTAAATTAGAGTAAGTATGAAATAAATTTTAAAATAATATAAATTTGCACTTAAATTTATTATAAATATTTGTTAAAAATCATGAAAATTAATTTCTTATAAAAAAAAAAAACTGAAAACTTAAAAAAGGAGAAGTATATTTATGAACAAGTGGGAAGATGAGAGGGGGTAGATGAGAATAATAAAAGCGAAAGACCGTAGGTGGTATAAACGGGAGGAGAAAAGTGCAAGTACGAGGGGCATCAACGTGGGAGAAACGTGCCCCGTCACTACGCTCTCGACGGTGGAGATGCCACGACTCTTCTCTTCCTTACCGCACGGCGTGGCACAATCTCTCGCCACACTTACTTCCCCATCACCGGCCCCATCTTTCCCCTATATAATTATATATATATATATTTATATTTTACCCCAATCCATACTATTCTTGCTGTAGCTATACCCAAGTCAAAAATCCCACAGAAAAAATTATTTTGGGCTGGACTATATATATAGATATATATATGTATATAGGTATAGGTGAAAATCTCTGGCATTGTTGGTTTCTGGCCTTGGTTTGTCTCTGTTGTGTGGGTGAGGTATAGAGAGAGTTGGGGAATGGGGAGAGCGCCGTGTTGCGAGAAAGTAGGACTCAACAAGGGGAGATGGACGGCGGAAGAGGATGAGAAATTGACTAAGTACATTCAAGCTAATGGTGAAGGTTCTTGGAGGTCATTACCCAAGAATGCGGGTAATTTTGCACACACCCACACTTTATTATAATCACCCATTTTATCCTTATACATTTTTTATCGATTATAATTCAAACAGTGTTGTGCTCTACCATGTCATTTTTAGAGTTTATATTTATTATATTATAATTAATTTTTACGTATAATCTAATTGATAAATGTATGTATATGATCCAAAAAGATTTAAGAAAATATTTTGTTATGTTAAGATTGTGTTATGGGATTAAATTTCTATGTTTTTTTTTTTTTGTTGGTTTTGACTAAATAGATGTTTGGTGTTTTGTTTCTGAAGGGTTACTGAGATGTGGGAAGAGTTGCAGACTGAGATGGATAAACTACTTGAGGGCTGACCTAAAAAGAGGAAACATAACTACTGAGGAAGAAGAGCTGATTGTTAAGTTGCATACTGCTTTGGGAAATAGGTCAGTCCATTAACCTCGGAAAATAAATATATAAATTGATTAATTTATTAAATATTGGAGAATAAAAAGATTTATTAATTTTTCACTTTTACCAAAGTAAATAAAAATTATGATTTTACCAGCCACGTTCGGAATAATTAATTTTTAAACTAATTATACTTAATATTTATAACATAGTTTTTTTACATAGATTAATTTTTCATTATTTAAAAAAAAAAAAAGAGAAACAGAAACCATTAATGCAATACATGAATAATATAAAATTAAATTCCTTGGTTTTCTTTTTTGGTATGTGCTCTCTTTTTCATGGTATCTACGTGGGGTTATGATGAGTTACCATTTAATACTCCGTTTTGTAAAGTATGGAGTAGTAGTTGGGAAAGAACTAGACACCGACTGGTTTTAGGGACCTTTCATCCTCCTTAGGTTTTGAAAGTGACTAAACAAAATTAAAATTAAAATTAAAATTAAAATTTAATACTATCAAGAAAATAGGTTCACAAAAAGGAAATGTAAATTGTGGTAAGTACGTGCTTATCATAGTTGAAAAAATATATATATTTCTATTTATATGAGTAAATTGAAAAGAAAAGCTTTTAATCATGGCAGATGGTCGTTGATAGCGAGTCATTTACCGGGACGAACGGACAACGAAATAAAGAATTACTGGAACTCCCATTTGAGCAGAAAGATTCACAGCTTCAGGAAGCTTATTTCAAACGAAACCCTTTCCATCATCGCCGACGTCGCAAAGCTCGCCGCCGCAACCAAGCCAAAACCCTCCGCTAATAAACCAGGCAGTGGAATCGGACGGCCGGCAAAGAAGAAGCGTAAAGCTCGGAATGCCCAAAACGACGTCGCAGCGAAGCAGCCAGAAGCGAAGATACCTTTGGCTTCGGAACCCACAGTGTCATCATCATTGCCATGTCCCCCCACTACTCCAGACCTGGACGAAGGTGCCATGAGAGACGTGTACTGCTGCATGAACCTGGATCATCCGTGCGCAGAGAGTGATACGACGTCGTTCCAGAACCCAGCTGGACGTTCAAGTCCCTCTCGAGACAGTAGTTGTACAGGCCATGCAGTTGCAGACGACAACGATCATGGAATTCTATTGTGTTCTAGTGAGGAGAGAGAACAGGCATTAAATGGAAATTCAATGTCGTGCCCAGGCAATGGTGGACAGAAAGAGACGGAAACTCTGTCGGGTCCACACGACGTCGTCATTAATGGTGATGATGATGGGATGTTATGTTTTAACGAGCTTATGGGCGAGGAGCTTTTGGACCCAGATGAGCTTTTGACAGTAAGTGATTATTCTGCGGTTGTGCTTAATGGTGATGATCAAAGGACAATAATGAGTAGTGGTAGTGGTGGGAATTGCACTATGACCAGCTCCTCTTCGTGCTCCTCAGAAATTTCTTGTTTGGATAACGAGAAATTTGATTTAGGTAACAACTGGGAATGGATTGATAATTATCTTGAAGGGCAAAATGGGATTTTGGACGTCGAGAAAGACGACATGCTTTCTTGGTTGTGGGATAATGACGATGGAGCAGGAATAGGAAGCGGTGAAAAACGTAATATTAGTTTAGATGAAAGTGATTTTGATAAGCAAAACGCCATTGTCGCTTGGCTTCTCTCTTGAGTATTGATGAGTGTGTGTTATGTCTTGATTGTTTTTTGGCAGCTAGGTTTTGAACTAATGGATGAGTGTACAAAAAGTCAATTGTGGCTTCTTTGTTTATTTGTTTAGTCCCCAACATTTTTGTTAATTAATGGGTTTGTTTGTTAGGTTTTGATAAAGATTTATCTAATGTAAATGGTTCATAACGGCTAATTGTTACTTCTGTTATTATTATTTTTTATCAATTTAGTTTATGTCTCAATTATATTATATGTTCAATTAGTTCTTATATTTTTTTAAAAATATTTGATTTAATCTATTTTTGTTCTTAATTTTTAAGCAAAATTTATTTACACACAAAAAATTTTGATTGATATACGTAAAATGTCATGTATAAGTCAGTCCAGACCAATTCATAATTAAAAAAAAAAAAAACCCTACATACATCCTAGCCAACACAACCCTAAACCCTAAGCTGAACGTTTTAGGGAGAGGATAGAGAGAGAGGGATGAATGGGAGGCAAAGATCTAGTGTGACCGGGTTCACCATAGGCATTTCTACACCGGATAACAGCATGTGCAACTGCGGCAAGCGATCTATTCTTATTGCACTCACCAAGATAGTTTTACTCGCTCCTGAACTCTGTGGCGAGTTCAGCCACCACCTTCGGGCCGTAGCTGTTTGGTCCCAATCAAAGCTTGAAGAAAATAAGAAAAAGACTTTCTGCTTGAGGTGAGAAAGAAACCAGAATTTGATTTAAATTTTTTACCTCCTTTCCATCTAAAGTTCCAGGCTTTAAATAGCCAACAAGAGATTACAAGATAATGGAAAATTCCTACATTTATGACATGAAAAATAAAGGATAAAGATCGTGGGTCACTTTCATTGTGGGGAGTTGCTGTTGTGGAGTGGAGTGTTGTGGGGAGCTGTTGCTATGGAGTGGAGTGTTATAGAGAGTTGCTGCTGTGGAGTGGAACGGTTCTTCAATTGGAGGTGGATAAGTGAGACCGATTCTGTAGGTGTGCACGTGCTGTTGACCCAGTCATGTTCAATCAAGATACTTTGAGTTTTTTGTGGGGATACATTGGGATCTACGGATCCTAACATCACTCCCTCCTTTTGGAGCAACTTTGTCCTCAAGGTTAGGAAATTGAGTGATGATGTCGGCAGTGTTCTCCCACGTGGAATCTTCAGCGGACAGATTTTTCCATTGAACCAAGCTTTGTTATATAAATTTATCGCCTTTCTTCAGCCAATGTGTGTTCAAGATTTGTTGTGGGTGGAGTAAGGCAGTACATTCTTCAATAGTAGTGAGAAGATCCTTGGTGGTGAAAACAGATTTGCCTATTTACTTCTTGAGTAAGGACACATGAAAAACCGAGTGGATATGAGCTTCTGCTGGCAGTTTGAGTTTATAGGTGACTGGACCAATGCATTGCTCAACTTAGTAAGATCCATAATACCGACAAACTAGTTTTTGAATGGCTTTGCGGAAGACAATCTATTGGCGATAAGGTTGTAGCTTGAAGAAGACCCAATCCCCTTCCTGGAATTCTAAGTGGCATCTCTTGGTGTTGGAGTAATGTTGCATGCTATTCTGGGCAGCATGGAGATTGGCTTTCAATTATTGTAGTAATTCATTTTAGCCCAGTAACTGTTGATCTACTTCGTTGACCGAAATCATACCTGAGTGATAATATGGTATGGCGGATGGAGGTCGCTTGTAAAGAGCTCAAAAGGGAGTCATTTTGATGGCGGTGTGATAAGTAGTGTTGTACCAACATTCTGCACATAGAAGCATGGAGCTCCATTTATTAGGTCGTTTGTGACCTAAACACCTCAAGTACTGCTGAAGACATTGGTTGACTACCTCGAATTATCCCTCCATCTGAGGGTGGTATGCTGAGCTCATTTTCAGTTATGTCCCTGACATTTTGAAAAATTTCTTTCAGAAATGACTGATGAATATTAGATCTCGGTCACTGACTATGGTGTGGGGCATCCCATGTAGCTTAACTATTTCGTCGACAAATTTCTCAGCCACCGTCCTACCTGTATAGGGGTGAGCTAGTGCCAGAAAGTGTTTAAACTTATTGAGGCGGTCGACTACTACTAGAATGGTGTTCTTGCCACTGGAGGGGGGTAAGCCTTCTATAAAATCCATCGTCATGTCTTCCCAAACTTGACATGGAATGGGTAAGGGTTGGAGGAGACCTACATGGATTAATGTCTCTGTTTTTACTCTCTAACATGTTTCACAAGCGGACATATACTCTTGAACTACCTTTTTTATAGATGGTCAGTAGAATTGCTGCGTCAATCTTTTGTAGGTACGGAGGATTCCAAAATGTCCCCCTAATGGTGAATCATGATAAGCTAGTAAAAGTTGTCATATCAGATAAGACTGAGGGGGTAGGACTACCTGATGCTTATAATAAATCAATCCATTTCGTGAGGTATAAGATCTACCCTTTTGCTCTTCTGCCAGTTTACTAAGCTTCTGTATATAGGGGTGTGTCTCTATTTCTTTCCTGATGTTGTCCCAAATCTGATTATGGTGGACGAATAGCGCGTCCAGGGATGACTTTGTAACTTATCTGAAGAGGGCATCTGCCATCGTGTTTTCTTTGTCTGGCTTATACATGATTTCATAATCATACCCAAATAGTTTGGAGACCCATTTCTGTTGTTCCAGAGTAGAGATCCATTGTTCAAGTAGGTATTTAAGACTGCGTTGGTATGTTTAAATAAAAAATTTCATGCCCATCAAATATGGTCTCCAAGTTTGTACTGCAATAACAACAACCAACATTTCCTTGGTATAAGTGGACCAAGAGTGTTTAGCAACTCCTAAAGCTCTGCTTAAGTAGGCTATGAGTTTTCCTTGTTGACTGAGGATTGCTCCTATTGCGACCCCTGAGGCATCAGTCTTAATAGTGAATGGCTCACTAAAGTTAGGTAGGGTCAGTATGGGAGTGTGTGTCATGGCCTGCTTCAGGCTTTTGAAGGCTTTCTCTACATCATTGTTCCATTCAAACTACCATTTTTTGTGGAGTTGTATCAATGGCCTGACAATGAACGCATAATAATCTTTTACAAATTTTCTATAGTAGTCAATCAGTCCCAAAAATCTGCAGAACTCCGTGATAGTGGCTGGGGTTGGTCAGTCTAAAATTTCCTGAATCTTACTCTGGTCATCTTGTACCCCATTCGGTGTGATGATGTGGCCAAAATAATCTAATTGTTGTTGGCTAAACACGCATTTTTTGAGCTTGATGAAGAACTTATTCTGTTTTAAAACTTTAAACACTTGTCGCACATGCACTAGGTGAGATTGCCAGTCGAGACTGTACACTAAAATATCATCAAAAAATACTCATACAAATTTGTGCAAGTATGACCGAAATATGGCATTCATTATAACTTGAAAAGTATAGGGGGTATTGCAGAGTTTGAAAGACATTACCAAATACTCGTGGTGGCTATTGTGAGTTCAAAATGCTGTTTTATGGACATCCTCAGGGTAGACTTTGATATGGTGATATCTAGATGTCAGATCTAGTTTGGTGAAGTAAGTGACACCATATAGCTCATCTAACAAATTTTCGACCGTTAGAATAGGAAAACAGTCCTTGATGGTGATTGCATTGAGTGCTCGGTAGTCGGTGCAAAACCTCCAAATGTCGTCTTTGTTTTTGACCAACAAAATCGGAGATGAAAATGGACTAGTGCCGGGTCGGATGAGTCCACAAGTAATCATCTCATCTACTTGTTTTTCAATCTCGGCCTTCTGAAAATAAGCATATCGATACGGTCGAACATTGACTGGTTCACTTCTTTCCTTGAGATTAATGTGGTGTGAGATTTTCCTAGCTTGGGGAAGTTGATTGGGTTCATGGAAAAGACCCAAAAACTCAGTCAATAGTTTCTGTAATTTTGGATTAGCAATGGCAGAATCGGTTATGCTGATGGAGAGCAAGCAGACAGCATATAGAGAAGGTCGTCTACTGGTTTTCTTACTAATTTCTTTCATCCAGGCTGCCTAAATGGGAGGGGGGTCGAGATCACATAAAATTCGCCTCTGATTGTTCCATTGGACGCCATGGTGAGTTTCTTCCAATCATAGGTCACCTTGGACACCCAACACAACATCCAACCCCGTTAGAGATAAAGAAAAGAGCGAGTGAAAGGGGGGTACCTTGGATTTGCAGTGGAACATTGTCAAATTGTCCTTGGCATTTCAGAGTGTTGTCACTTGCCACTTTTACTGAAAATGGGGTCGTCAGAATGACCAAGAGCTGTAATCAGTTTGCCACATTTTCAGAAATGAAGTTGTGCATGGAGCGCCTATCGATGAGAGCAACTACTTCCTGATGTCCGATAGTGGTGGTGACTTGCATGGTGTGAGCCGGTTCCAGCCCATGAGAATGTGCAAGGAGATTTCGGTGTCCCAGCCCGCCTCCCGCAAACTGTGACGTAAACTCACAACTAAAAAAAAACAACCGCAACTCGTTCTATTCCAAACTCGCCATGCTGGAGTTCCCGGTCTTCGTCGGGGGCAACCCGACTGAATGGTTGTGCTGGGTCAGCCAATTCTTTTTCTATCAAGGCACCACCGAGTAACACAAGGTGTCTCTTGTCGCCTATCACCTGGAATGAGAGGCCAATCAATGGTGGCAGTGGCTGAACCAAATTTACAGAGAAGAGGGAAGAGAAATCACCTGGACTGAGTTTGAAGAGGAGCTGTGGGCGGGGTTCGAGCCGATCGAGTTTGAAGACTTTGATGAAGCTCTTGCCCACATCCGTCAGACTGACCCACTTTGTGATAATCAGAGGGAGTTCAAAAAATTGGGCAACAGAGTCCATGGGTGGCCTCAGCGGGCGCTAGTTAAAGCCTTCATTGGTGGGCTCAAGCCCGAGATAGCTGATGGGATTCAGATGTTCAAGCCCAAGACACTCAGAAACGCCATAGGCCTGGCCCGAATGTGGGAAGAATAAGTGGGTCGACAAAATCGTCTGACCCGACCCAGGAGAGCCCAACCCGCCCAACATCTATCATCCTTACTTGAGTTTTTTCCACAAACCTTAATCGCCATGGCCACAGTGCCGAAGAGGCTCACCTGGGAAGATATGGTTGTGCTTCAATTG